TGCGGTGAGGAAGTACCTCGCAGCATCTACAAGTTGTCTTTCTGATTCTCTGTCCCTGCTGGAGAAGTCCAGTAGACAGATAGTAACTCTCAGGGAAGGACTGGGAAGGTGAGCTTTCCCTCTCATTTGGATGTCCTAAACTGACTTAGTCCTAGAATAATAAACATTTGATTACAGAGTACATATGGGCTTACTAAAGTTTAAAACTACAGTGAACCTTAAGATCTTGTGCTTTTTGTATATTGAAGTGTTGGTTTGCTTTTGTAGATGAGAACTTAAAAACTACTTCCAAGCCCGTAGACTAGGTATACTATGATAGGTGTATCTCCTGTTAACTTCACTCAAAGCAGAAAAGGATAAATATCCTAGCTATTGTTAGCTTGGTGTTTACTGAAAACCCATGGCAGTCTGTTGGGAAGTGTTTCTGGCAGTGATTTCCCAGACTTGACAAGTTTTGCCATTTGTGGATTCTAGTTTATTTACAATGACAGTGCACGCTCAAAATATGTCTATTGCTTATCTGACACTCAGAATCCTGTGCTCCTTAACTGCTAGCTTGCAGTGGTTACTAACTGAACTTTTAGCAGTGGACAGGTCAGATAGCAAAAGCCGACAGCCTGTTCCTCTTGTGTCCCTAGGGCTCAGCTCTGCCCTGCTATTGTTTGTTGAATTGAACATTTAGGTTGTTTTCATGGATGAAGACTTTTCTCTTTTGGATTACTAAATTTAGCTTTTTAATTTAACTATTTGAAATGTGTGGTTGTCTGATAGTGATGGTATTTGAATTTGCTATGTTTAAAACCTACTTATCAATGAACCCAAAGATAAAAATCTGATGGGAGGGGCTTCACCTTGTCACTGAGGGACTCTGTAGTGGCAAGGTGACTTGGTGATGTTTCTAGTCCTGAGTGAGACTGAGCTTAATGCATTTTCTTCCCAACAGGATAAAGGGCCTGTCTCTGGTTATTCTGGTTCTAATTTAGAAACAAAAGTTTATTTGTTTTAGGCTGCCCTCGAAGTATGCAGAGCATTCTTGCAGGAAGAGAAAGGTGAAGGAGTCATTATGGTGACAGACCCTCCTTTTGGTGGTTTGGTTGAACCTCTGGCCACTACTTTCAAGAAGTTAATTGCTATGTGGAAAGAAGGTCAGAGCCGAGGTGTGTGGTGTTTCACTTATTGCAAAATGAGCATATATCTGTGTATCTGCTTCTTGTCCAGTACTAGCCAAGCTCAGCACTGATGGGCTGTACTTGTCTCAGGTTCTTTTTAAAGGCAGGTTGATTTGATGATGGGCAAACTTCATGATCATGGGACACTTCCTGTTATCCTAGTCATGTTTATAAAATGGTTTGTAAGTAATGTTATTGCTTTGGTGGAGATTATGAGACATTATGAGCAGCAGTGAACTGTTGTCATTTGTTCACTAAATGCTTATCGAGTGACTGCCGTATGCAGGTACTGTTATGTACGAAGAGCAGATTAATGAGCCCTATGGCTCTTACATTTCCTGCTCCTGAAGTCTTACTCAGAACTCTAAGAAGGTGTCTAACCTCAGACCCAGAGCCTTGAACTTTGCTAAGATTTGTGTGAAATTCGGATGCCCAGTAGGCCAGTGGCAGTCATCAGTAACAGGACATGCAGACTCCCAGCCCTAGAGGTGGGTTAAAGCTATTTAAAGTGGCTAAAGACTTCACAGTGTTTTATGCAATTATCTCATTAGTCAGTCCATTCACTTTTAGACATGGCTTCTAGCCTAGCAGATGATAGATTACACAAATGCCCAGGGTTATAGTCAAGCTTCTCCATAACTGAGCTACTAAGTAGTGTGCTTTGAGGACAGTGGAAAGAATCTCCGAAACAGGATTCATTTTGTTAAGTATTTTACTTATTTACTTATTTGCTTCTCTGAAGATCACTAATACGAATAGATAAATTCAGTTTTGTTTTAGATATGTATTATTTCCATTAACCTTTGGGAAAGGTCAAGTTGAAATGGCGCTATAGTAAACATTCTCTTTCTATGGCAGATAAATGTATTAAACAACTGAAAACTTCTATAGTTTTTCAGTGAAAGTTGTTACTTTTTTTTTTTTTTTAGTAACAATTTATTTTTCGTATTTACTTGTATTTTCTTGTATAATCTTTTAGATGACAGTCACAAAGAACTTCCCATTTTCTGGATTTTCCCCTATTTTTTTGAGTCCCGAATTTGTCAGTTTTTCCCAAGCTTCTGCATGCTGGATTACCAGGTATAGTAACATTCTGTTTTCTGGCATGTTGGGGAATGGGTATGCTGCTAAAATATTCTGATAAGGCTATCCTTTAATTTTAGTAAATTAAAGTGCTTTGAACTATATTAAACACTAAAATTATACTATGTATAGCTTAGTCCCTGGCTCCTAATGTTGGTAGTCTCTGGGTGCTTGCTAAAAATGTAGCTCCTTGAGTATCAAAAGAAACCTAATACAAAATCAGAAGAAACAGTCCTAAGAGAAAATACTTTCCCAAGCTTCCCAGGTGAGTGTGAAGTGCAGCTAGGTTTTAGATCAGCCTATCCTTTCAACAGCACCAGCCCCGCCAGGACCATCATTGTAAGTAGTGCTTTTCTCTGTTCAGAATCCAGCAAAGTAAATTGCCCTTCCTGGTTGGTAGAGCACCATGTGTCCTTTTCTATGTGTCACTCGGGACCTCTAGGAGCTTTCAGGAGGGGCTTGCCCCCAGTTATAAGATGCGGGAGGAAGCAGAGAAGGCTGTGTGAGCACTGACTGCCTTTGTTTCCCCGCATGCTTTAGATGAGATAGAGGCCAGGGCCATCAAAACTCCACCTTGTCCCTCAGAGTGTTTCCTAACTTGGGTTCTAAAGTTAGCCCCCTTGTCATCATCACTGGTTCTTCTTTCTGTAGTGGCGTGTTTCCTTTGCGTTTCCTGAATAATTGACTAGGCCCTGAAGTTTTTCAGACCTCGAATTTGTAAATGTCTTAAATAGCTGTGGCAAGATAGCATTTGTTGTCCTCTCTCTACTTTTAAAAGCACAGATCATTGTGAAAATTATTTTGAAGTTCTGAAAGAGTGTCACCCCAAATGAGGGGATACCGTGTCTGTGATGCTGCCATCGAAAAACAAGTATTACAATTTTTATTTTTCACTTTATTTTGTTTGTTTGTGTGTCTGAGGATTGAACACTTCCAATTAATTTTAAAAGACAATTTGGAGTTCTTCTCTGTCTTATGTAACTGCACATTTTAAAGGGAGAGACATAATCTTTGTATTAATAATTTTCACTTCATTAACAGGCTGTATTATCATTCCCTTCTTTCTCGACTCTTTCTAAGGTACTACAAATGAGACTTCAAAAAACATCTTTGATGCATAAAATTTTTCTGTATTTCCTATAGTTTCTGTAATATAGATTTTGAAAACCAAGATTACCTTCCTGAGTTTAATGGACATTTTTATAGCCAATGAGCCATATTAACAGGGTTCTTTCCAAAAGTGTGTAATATAAGCCATTTTAACCTTGACTTCTTGAGCTCTTCTCCAGGCAAAATAGACTCTATATCTTAATATATCATAATTCTCTTTACAGCTGTTTACTCTCCTTTTTAGAGCTTCCAAGCTTTTGTTGCTTTTTTTGTGATGCTTCTAGAATTGGCCTTTGTAATACATACAGCTGACTTAATCTAAAGATATTAGCTGAGTAAACCCCCCCTCCCCAGTGATGCTCTTGTGTGATGCTTGGCACACAGTAGGTGTCCCATACATTTCAAATGAATTGAATGAAAAAGAGCAAGACTCTAGCATTGAGAAGATCTGGGTTTTAGTCCTGGCTCAGCTACTTAACTGCTCTGAAGCTCATCTTACCTGTTTAGTGAGTATATTAATGATAATGATGGTAATAGTAATAATAATAATAAACGTGCCTCATGAAGTAATGTGTGAAAAGGTGTGGTCCAGTCCTTGACACATGGCAAATGTGGAGTTGGGGCTGTTGCTGTCAGCATTATCATCATTCAGATAGTCCTAAGGTAGGGACAGAACTTCTCACTCCTCTCCTTTCTTATATATACATGAGACATTAAAATTGAATAGCACAGGTCTCCTAGAAGCCTGTTGTGTCCTCATGCAGAGAAGTGTTTTCAGAATGGGCAAGAATTTGAAATGGTGAGGGGGCAGAGGAAGGCAGGTCTTTGGTAAGGTGGATGAATGATGTTAATATGTTACTTGCTTAGGCAGCCTGTGTCATTAGGAAAGAACTTTGGGGAATAGTGGTGAGCCCAAATTTACTGGAAATAATTTGACAATTCACTATATTGGTGAAAAGGATGTTCTGATTGGTTCATGTGTGTCTGACAGCATACAAAGCAGCGTTTTCAGTAAATCAAAAGCCAACCTCTGAGAAAAAAAATGAGAATGAGATCCGTAAAACAAAAGAGCATGCCCAAGTCCCTGGGTTCAGTCCACAGTACCTCGAACAAATCAAAACAAAAAATGTGAAACTGTCCTGTCCTCTGCCATAGATCTTTTCCCATAGACTTTGATTAGTTCCAACGAATGTAGAGTCCAGTCTGCCCTAACCATCACCAAGGGTGATTATAAGACCCCAAGCGACAATACAGTAAGAAAATATCAAAATTATTAAATCTCTCTCTTTTTCTCTCTCTGGAAGTACTACTTAGATAAGAGGAAGGCAGAAACCCTGCAAATTTTCATAAAATATAAATCATATAGACTTCAGTGATAAAGCACTTGATAAGTAGGCAATAAAATGGTTATCAGAAACCTAGAAATGTAACCACTGTTTTATTAAGGGCAGATTAGAAAGGAAGGAGATTCTGATTTAGAGTTAGAAGTTGGAGTCTTAGCACTGTCTTTTGGACTGATTTAATCTGGGAGAGGTCAGTTGGTCTTGCCAGGTCTTTGGGAATAAATGATTGAAACACAAAAGGTATCAGCTAGACTTCCCTTGTAGTGCTAAGCCTGAGAATCCATAATGACTTCCTAGCAAGTTTGTTGAGAGAATACCAGGCTCAGGTGGCAGTCACAGGGCTTATTAGTGGTAGAAGGGCCCGGAGCCAGACACAGGGAGCGGCAGGCTTCCTTAGTTACGGCATCTGAATGAGGTGGTTTCACATTTTGTCCCTTTTGAGTGTTCTCTTAATTCTTTTTACCATGGAGCATTTGTATTGAGTGTTGAAGGCCGAGGTCTTTATTTTGTCAAAGCTAACCTGTTTTTACAATCAGCCTGTATAGGAAACCTTTTCAAGCTTAGTTTTAGTGTATAGAAAGGAAGATACTTTGATAGATTTCTGGGAACTCATTACCATATTACAAGATGGCAACCAACATTTTTGAAACTCAGTGTGTAATAAAGATGTGAGAACTATGGAGTAAAAGGGGGATGAGCTCTATATGGGAATTTAAAGTTGGGTTTAATAGGATGTGGGGTTACAACTGTCAAAGCTTACTGTGGTTGTGGGAGCTGGTTGGTGCAGCTGAGGACCTTGTGGAGATGGAGTTGGTGGATGCTATTAGGACCTTAGTGAGATTACACAGAACAGTCCTCAGGGAGTCAAGCAAATGCTCGTGTGGCCTAAAATGTAGTGCCTGGGACATAGTAGGTACAAAACCAGTGCTTGAAAGTCTTCGTGCTGAACATAATTAGTTTAGTTTCATGTTACGGAAGACATTTGCGTATGGATCAAATTAAAAGTTAGGAATTGCAGGGATTTTGCGCTTTCCCTCATTTCTATACAGTACTTCATCACATTAATCAGTTCTGTGGGAGAAATTTTCTGTTTGAAAATGCCTCTCATCATCATTGTGAGTGAAATGTCAGGGATAATGATGGGAAAATGGTGTATCAGCTTTACCACTAGTGATAGGCAATTTGCAAAATTGTGTTTGCTTTCCAGCACTTCCACAGGAGGTTTATTTGTGTGGATGAAGCTATGAAATATGGATGTATGTTAGAGGTACATTAATTTACTCTAGCAGCATGCATTTTACATACCATATGTTTATAGTTAATTAGCACAACAAACCCGCATTTAAAAATAATAATAATCTCAATTAGGTTATGCAAAATCAAGCAATCAGCCACCTTCCTGACACATACATTCTTCGGCTCCTTGGGTAGCCATAAAGAAATTGTTCTTTTACCCCCTCTCTTCCATCTGCTGTTATATCACACAGGATATTCCATGTAGTAGAAATCTTCCTACAATATAATTTTCCAACATTTGAAAGCCTTCATAAAATTCTCTTGGGAAGAATTTTTTTCTTATGACATTCATAAGTTTATGTGCAAACTATCTTTTGTTGAATTTAATAAGGTACCATATATATTCAAGTACACAAAGGACTACATCAGGGAAAAATTATGAATTTAAATCACTTTAAAAGAAAACTACACGTGGTGGCGCACGCCTTTAATCCCAGCACTCAGGAGGCAGAGGCAGGTGGATCCTCTGTGAGTTGGGGGCCAGCCTGGTCTACAGAGTGAGTTCCAGGCAGCTGGAGCTACAGGGAGACCCTGTCTCAAAAAGACCCCCCCCCCAAAAAAAAGAAAAAAAAAAGAAAACTACTTAAGCCACTATTTTAAGGTGATTTTGAAGTAAAATCTGTTTTTGTATCTTGCCTCTTAAAAGGTAACATATATTCATAGGATTTTGAAAGTTGGAAGGGAACATAGAGGTAACCTGGGTTGACTTCCCAATGTCATAATCCTCTCTGCTAAATTCATGACAGGCAGTCATCTAGCCTCACTTGAATGCTTTCAGTGAGCAGAGTCCTACAGCCTTACAAGGCAACTCAATTTATTTAATAGCTCTAATCGTTAGAAAATTTTCTCATATTGAGATAAAATATGCTCCCCATTAACTTCTAACCATTGGTCCTGGATCTATTCTCTGAGGCAATAAAGGAGAAGTCTAATTTCTATTCCATATGACACCCCTTCAGTTATAAAATAGCTGTCAGTTCCTCCCAGTCTTTTCTGAATAAACACCCCCAATTTGTTAAACTATAAATCCTATTCATTGCCATTATTTTCAGTAGAAATGAACCAGTTTTATCAGTGTTTCTCTTAAAATGTAGGGACTGAAGGCAGGACTACAAATGGGATCTAACCTGGCCTTTCCTTGTTAGGAGACTGTGTTTCTGTAGAGGCTTCCGGCCAGCTCACATGGATCTCTGCAGTCAGGCTAGACTGAGGACGCCCCCTGCTGGCAGCCAACCAGAACCCCCCCTGGGGCTGTTCACCACCCCTTGCCTCTCCTCACCTCATCTTAGTTTTCCCCACTGCTGGTGCTTGTTAGTAAGCTTTCATGAATGCATTTACTTGTAAATATGGTAGCACTGGTGTTAAACTAGATAGGGCCATGGAGAGAGCTGAGCAATCTGCCGTCAAAAGCCTGTCTGTCTCATACCTGGTCAACATGCCATTTCCCCTCACTAACTCCTTCCAGACACCCCTCAATGGGACATTTATGTCAATATCCCCAACTCTGCAACTTTGTGGCAGAAAGAGTGGAAAGAATGTAAGAGTCAGAGGATGGTGGGGTGTGCTGTGAAATGCTGTCTTCTGGATATGATGTGACCGCTGCATTCATGAAGCAGCTATGCTTACCTACCCAAGATCAAGTGAGTCGGTATCCAGCATGGACTTTGAAGAGTGGCTCATGAAGCTGCACTCTCAACTGAGGAGCTATTGGCAATTGATGACCGCTGGAAAGGGGTCATCGTTTTTCTTCCAGGGTACGGCTCCTGGAGGGTTGCCCGTGCTCTAGAGAATGTCCCTATGCACATGCAGGCAGCACTAATTGGACTCGGTGTGTTATTTTAAAAAATCTTAAACTAGGGGCTGGAGAGGTAGCTCAGTGGTTAAGAGCACTGGTTGCTTTTATAGAGGACCCAGTTCAGTCCCAGCATCTACGTGGTGGGTAACAACCATCTATAACTCCAGTGAAAGGGAATCTGATGCCCTTTTTGGCCTCTGCTGGCATTTCATGCATGTGGTGCACTTATATACATGCAGGCAAAACACTCATACACGTACAATAAAAACAAATTTTTAAATTAAAAAGGACATAAAGGTGGGAGGGGGATAGGATTGGGGGGCAGAAAGAGTAGGAAAGGGAATATGGGTTGAATATGATTAAGATACATAGTATGCATGTATGAAATTGTCAAAGAATAAATAAGAAACACTTTAAGAAAATGTCTGTTTTCCTTGTTATGGGTTCTCCACGTTTGTGATTGTGATTCACCTGTTAAATTGCTAGCCCACAAGCCTGTTCTAAGTCGCTTATTATATCCTTGTTCCTAACTGAAGCAATTACACCTTATTTGGAAGTTGGGACCCACCTGTACTGAAGCCGTAACGACCTCATGGTATTCTTGAGGATCATCTAAAGCAGTGGTTCTCAAATGAGTGTGCCATGAGGGCTTGCTAAAACAAACTGCGGGGCCCCATTCCCTAATTTTCTGATGTAGTAGGCCCCAGGTTGGACAAGAATTTGCATTTCTAACAAGATCCTGGGTAATGTTGGTATCACTGAAGCACTTTGAGAATTATTGACCTAAAGAAAGACAGCTTTAGTGGCCAGGTAGATTCATAGGATACTGAAAGTCGACTTGAGAATGTATACGGATAATAGATTGAAGGAGGAGAGGGCATCTAGACTCTAAACGTAATGCTTGCTAGCTTCACTCTCAAGATAATCAGCTGAAATAATAAGTCTTGAGGGTAGAGGTCAGTGTTTGAAATACTCACCATGGGGAGAGCTACAGTGGTGGATGCCTCTCTTCATCTCCATCCTTCTACCGTATGCCAGACTCTGAACTAAGTGTTGACCCTCACAGCAGCTCTAAGGTTGGAACCAGCAACCTCCTTTTACAGTTAAAACATCTGTAAGGTTTTGTCTGAGGTCATCTAACAACTAAGTGACAGAGCCACCATTTGACCCCTAAACCTGTGTTCCATCAGAAGGTAAGGGGACAGATGTGAATAGAGGGCTAGACTGAAGCTGCACTTTGACCTGGTGAGCTGACCACTGACATACACCAGCATCCCTCATGAAAATGGACAGCCTCAGGGAAGCTTGGTAAAGTTAGCACAAAACAAAGCTCCTAATTATACAATAAACATATAGAGCCTTTTAGATCAAAGGTTGGAGTCATTCCCTCAGCACAGATGTGAATGTAAATTTTACCCTAGTTCTAATGAAATTGGACTGCCATGGAGGCCTCTCTGAGGTTGTTACTGAATAAATCTGCTTTTAGGAATTTCTTATTAACTTCTTGCTTTGGTCTGCATCTTAGCATCAGCTTATTTATTTATTGGTTAAAGAGGCTTAGTGAATGTTGACTCATTTGTGTAAATTTTCTTTTTGCTTTCTAGGTAGATTATGATAATCATGCACTTTACAAACATGGAAAGAGAGGTCGAAAACAGTCTCCTGTGCGGATTTTTACCAACATTCCACCCAACAAAATAATCCTTCCTACTGAAGAAGGATACAGGCAAGACCACAGTAGGACTTTGAAATTCTCAGATCACCTGAAAAGGCACCTCTTTATGTCTAACAGTAAAATGTTTTCACTATTGAATCATTTTGTTCTTATATTACTCTTAAATTTGGTCCATAATTTCCTATTGAATTGAATTTTGATTACTTCGAATTTTTGGAACAAGTGCCTTGTTCACTTTTCTCTGTTCTGTGTATCAAAATAAATACTGCAGCTGATTTCCCTGTTTCTCTCTTTAGATTTTGCTCCCTGTGTCAACGATATGTTTCTCTTGAGAATCGACACTGTGAGCACTGCAATTCTTGCACATCCAAGGTCTGTTTTTCTTATGTGATATATTTTTATGCAAATGTTAGTTATATTTTAATTTGCTACTTTTATTATGCTTTAAATGTTATTTTGTTAATGCTAGTTTGTATTAATATACTCCTGTTATACTTCAGTATAGTAGTACATAGTAGTACTTTTTTTCTTTTTTGATTTATTTTTATTTTATGTGTGTGCTTTGCCTACATGTATGTAAGTGCACTGTGCATGCAATATCCATGGAGGTCATAAGAAGGTGTCAGGTCCCCTGGAACTGGATTTAAGGACAGTTGTTAGCTGCCGTGTGGATGCTGGGAACTGAACCCTGGTCTTCTGGAAGAGCAGCCAGTACTCTTAACTGCTGAGCCATCTCTCCAGCTCCAGTAGTGTTTTATTTCTAATTATAGAGTACAACAGTTTTTTAAAAAACACTTTTTGTGTATATGCATGTGTACATTGGTATGCATGTGTTGTGTGTGTGCAGGTGTACATATTACAGTGTATATGAAGAGGTCAGAGTACAACTTGCAGGAGACAGTTCTCACCTTCCACTATGTGGATTCCAGTCATCTAACTCAGGTCGTCAAGCTTGACAACAAGCACCTTTACCTACTAAGTCATCTTGCCAGCCCTACAAATAGGCTTTTGTTTATTATTTTGTTTTTTGAGACAATGTCTCTCTGTAGCCCCACCTGGCCTGGAACTCTGTAGACCAGTCTGGCTTCCATCTTTCAGAGATTCGCCTGCCTCTGCCTCCTGAGTGCTAGAGCCACACCCAAGCCTCCAACAGCCTTTTTAAAGTACCTAATTTCCTTCATCATCATCACTAATTATTTCAGTTCATTTACATGTAGAACTTACTAGGAGTGTCTCAAAAAAGGCACTAAGTGATAAATCTGTAAGTCTTTTGAGGGTAAAATTAGGTTGTTTCAAATAAGGCATTGAACTGTTAGATACCGATGCTGATGGAGTAATGATTAATAATGTGTTCTGCACTTTTCATGTGCTGGGCTTGTTTCTAAGAGCTTTGCATAGGTTAACACATTTAATCCTCACCATGGCCTTAGGAGGTGGAGGTGCAGCTACTCCTTGCTTTTTATGGGTGAGGTGGGAGAACAAGGAGCCTTATGGGTTTAGCTATTATTTTTTATTTTTATCTTTATTTTTTTTTTTTTTTTGTTTTTTTTAGACAGGGTCTCCCTGTAGTCACAGCTGGCCTGGAACTCACTTTGTAGACTGGGCTGGCCTTGAACTCACAGAGATCCGCCTGCCTCTGCCTCCCAAGTACTGGGACTAAAGGCATGCACCTCCACGCCCGGCACTTTAGCTATTATTTTTTAATAGCTTGTGTTTTAGAAAGTAGTTTTAGGGGGCTGGAGAGATGGCTCAGTGGATGGGAACACTGACTGTTCTTGTAGAAGACCCGAGTTCGAATCTCAGCACCCACATGGCAGCTGTGCTGGATAGCTTTAGTGTCAACTTGACACACCTGGGTTGAGGGAGCCTCAATTTGGGAATCGCCTCTATTGGACTGGCCTGTGGCCATGTCTGAGGGCATCTTCTTGATGAGTGATGTGGGAAGGCCCAGCCCACTATGGGTGGTGCCACCCCTGGGCAGGTGGTCCTGTGTTGCATAAGAAAGCAGGCTGAGCAGGGACCAGGGGAGCAAGCCAGTAAGCAGCATTCCTCCATGGCCTGTGCTCCAGCTCCTGCCTCCAGGTTCCTGCCCTGAGTTCCTACCTTGGGCTCCTGGATGAACTGTGACCCAGGATATGTAAGCTAAATAAACCCTTTCCTCCCCAAGTTGGTAGTGGCCAGAGTATTTTGTCATAGCAATGAAGAAACAAACTAGGACAGCAGCTAACAACTGTCTGTAACTCCAGTTCCAGGGGATCTGACAGTCTCTTATGTCCTCCGCAGGCATTGCAGGACACGGGTGCACTTACATGCAGGCAATACACACATACACATAAAATAAAAATAATAAAAATATTATAAAAGCCGGGCATGGTGGCGCATGCCTGTAGCCCCAGCACTTGGGAGGCAGAGGCAGGTGGATTTCTGTGAGTTCAAGGCCAGCCTGGTCTACATAGTGAGTTTCAGGACAGCTGGGGCTACAGGGAGAACCTGCTTCAAAAAAAAAAAAATGTTATTTAAAAAAAGTTATAAAAAAAAAAAGAAAGTTGTTTTAGATTTACAGCAGAATTAATCAGAAGGTTCAGAGATTCTGTATGTACCTCCTACCCTCATTCCTGCGCATGTCTTCCGCATCAACATCCCCCAATGGACTATGCATACCTGTGTGACTATTGATTTGCCTACCCACCTACCAGGCACATCATTAAGCTGGGTCATGATTTACTTTCAGATTCATTCTTGATGCTGTATATGCTTTGGGTTTGGGTAAATGTATGCCTTGCATCTATCATTGTAGGAGCATGCAGGTGACTTCACCATGTTCCCTAAAACGTTTCTACACTGCCTGGTCATTCTTCCTTTGCCTAACCTGTGGCAACAGATCTGCTTGCTGTCTCTATGGTTCTGCCTTTTGGCAGAATGTCATAATGTTAGAGTCACACAGCATGTATAACTAGTTGCTCTTCAGGTTGGCTTCTTTATTTGTAGTGGGCACTTAAAGCTCCTTCTGTCTTTCCCTGGCTAACTGGCTCATTCTTGTTCGTGATATTCCATTGTCTGGGTGTGCCACAGTCCAACCATTCACCTACTGAAGGATTGCTTGCTTGCTTCCGACTTGGGGCAATTATGAACAAACTTATTTATTTTCTGGGAAGCTACGAGACCCTTAAGCTACTTTGTTCATCTTTTTTTTAAAAATTTTTTTAAAAATTTGTTATTTTTATTTTATGTGTATGCATGTATTGCCTGCATGTAGGTAAGTGCACCCATGTTGTGTAGTGCCTGCGTGCAATGCCCACAGAGGTCAGGAGAGGCTGTTGGATCCCCTGGGACTGGAGTTATGGACAGTTGTTAGCTGCCATGTGGGTGCTGGGATTCGAACCCAGGTCTTGTGCAAGAATAAGCAGTGTTCTTAACCACTGAGCCATCTCTCCAGCCCCATACTTTGTTCATCTTAACTAAATCTAGTCAGAAGGAGCATGTAGAGTTTAGTTTGACTAAACAGCACAAATTATTTTCTAAAGAAATGTTTATATTCATTTTTCATAATTATATAATTTTATTGTTGGTTATACAGGATTTTAACTATGGTAGTACATCTGACTATGTATTTTCAATTAGTCTAGAAATGGTGTGTATTTTGTCCAGATTATATAGAGTTTAAAATTGAGGAAGCAGAACTTAATTATTTAGAAATGTGCGCATGGTAAAAATAAAGAAGAACAGGGAAATGACTGTCACAAAAACCAGTTGATGCAGTGGGAAGGGAGGCCTTGCTGGGGAGGCCTGTGGGGAGGTTCCGGGGGCCGCTGGTCTCCTTTATGTGGTGGGTTTCACCAGAAGTTCCTTTAATTTTCCTAAAGTTGACATATGTGTTAATGTACTTTTTGAGGCATGTTTAATTTCACATTTAAAAAATTACTCAAATAGTAACCTATAATCTATCTCCCTAAATTGCATGAAGCTTTCAACTATGAATTTCATTAAGAATTATGTAGTATAGATACATAAAATTAGGAATCATTAATTCTCTTGAAATTTTCATTTGAGTCCTTCTTTGTGAAGATTGGATAGCTTGAAGTGGAGTGGATTTTCAAGATCATTTGGTTAAATCTTCTAGTTTCACAGTTAAGGAAATTGAGGCCCATCAAGAAGGCATTTGAGTTAAGTGGAGAAATGCATAAATTAAAATCAAAGTATTTAATTGTGAAGCCTAGGAAAAGGAGAAATAAGGAATGAATAATTTACAGATATTTTAATAAGACATTTTAATTTTTAATTGTGGAATTTGTCTTTTAATAACAAATTAAACATTTTAAAATTTGCTTTTTTTAGGATGGCAGAAAATGGAACCATTGCTTTCTCTGCAACAAGTGTGTAAAACCTTGTGAGTACTCAGAAAAGTGTGTAAAGCCTCGTGTGTACTCAGAAAAGTATGTAAAGCCTCATGTGTACTCAGAAAAGTGTGTAAAGCCTCGTGAGTACTCAGAAAAATGTGTAAAGCCTCGTGTGTACTCAGAAAAGCGTGTAAAGCCTCGTGAGTACTCAGAAAAATGTGTAAAGCCTCGTGTGTACTCAGAAAAGCGTGTAAAGCCTCGTGAGTACTCAGAAAAGTATGTAAAGCCTCGTGTGTACTCAGAAAAGTGTGTAAAGCCTCGTGAGTACTCAGAAAAGTATGTAAAGCCTTGTGAGTACTCAGAAAAGTGTGTAAAGCCTCATGGGTACTGAGAAGTGTGTAAAGCCTCCTGAGTACTCAGAACAGTGTGTAAGCTTTGTGAGTATTGAGGAAAGTGTGTAAAGCCTTGTAAGTACTGAGCTCACCACTTGAGAGCCTGTAAAAATATGGAGTCTTCCTTCATGAAAATAGGATTTTTGTCATACTTAGGAAAAATTATGTAGAGACCTACATTGACTTTAATTTTTTATAATTACCAAAATGTATGTTTTTCATAGGGAGAGCTGACAGCTAACCTCTGTCAGTGTGGCATTCTGCTCAGCTTTAATAGGACACCGTGCCTCACAGCCAACCTCTGTTGTGACAGTGGTTGTCAGCTCATGACCTGCTAGGGAAGGGCTGACTTTGTTGCATTATTAGAGAAAGATGTTTACTGGTATATGTGGGATTTGAACACTTCACCTTGATCTCTTCAGACAAATCAAAATGAGCTATGCAAACCAGCCACAATATTTGAAGTAAACATTATTCATATGTTCTACCTCCAAAGTTAATAAAATGAAAAAATTATTAAATGAACCTCTTCTGAAATTTTTTTCTTTACAGCCTGGATCCATTGTAGCATCTGCAACCACTGTGCTCTTCCAGATCATTCCTGTGCAGGCCCTAAAGAAGGCTGTTTCATCTGTGGTGGGTTAGATCACAAACGCAATGCTTGTCCTAACAGTGCCACCTCTAAGAGGACCAGCAGGTTAGTTGAAGTTTTTGCTTACTACAAAAAAGATTTCCTGTGTCAAGTTTTCTGGGAGCCATCTACTAAAATACATGGCATTCAGAGGATTCAGGGGTGCTCAATTGTTACTTTCAGTATTTTGTATTATTTACTTGGATAGGGACAGAGGATACTAAGGCAAGAGCTTGCTTCAAGGAGTTCACAGCTTGACAAGATAGACAAGAAAATAAGCAAAATATGAGGAGGAAGTGATTAACTTTCCATCTCTTGTTCGTGTGAAATTATAATTTGGGGGTGAAAGTTCTGACTTTACTGAAGTAATGATTCTTAGTGAGGCTTCGAGGGACAGATCAGAGGTAGACATATAGTGTCAGGAAAAGACGGAGAAGGCATTTCAGATTGAACAGAGCACATAATCCACAGCAATAAAATTGTGAAATGGTGTTAAGTTCTGTAAATCCTATCTGATCTCAAATAAAAGACCAAAAACCCAAAACCACTTAGACGTATTTTTAAATACTTAAACTATTTTAAATGTTGTTGTTGCTTTTTCTATGACTATTTTCACATCTCCCACTAGCATTTGACATTGATGATAATTTAGAGTTCAATTATGCCACTGATAATAGCATAATTAGAAAAATCTACTGCCTGTATCACCTGGGCTAATACAAGTGATTGTACCTTTTTTTAAAACTAAAACTGGTCCTAGGGATCATGTTTAGTTGTTTTAAATAAAAAGCAAAACAAAACTTTAGTATCACGTACTACCTGCAAATTACCAAATGGCCAAATTTACCATCACTTGAAAATTAAAATTAGGGTAAAAAGTTGGACCTATCGAATGCTTTGTGAGTAAACAGACAGTAGTAAGGGGTGTCTGGTGCTTTGGTTACTGTGACTATAATTCTTTTTATTTGTTTATAGTCAGTGGCAAAAAAATTTTTTTTCCATTCAGGTCCAGCTAGTTGAATTCTGCCTACTAGTTAGACTGCCTTTTTCATAAATATACTCTATTTCCCTAAGCCTAAGATAAAATGGTATTTTTGAGATGGTCTCATTATGTAGCCCCGACTGGCCTGGAACTTGCAATGTAGATGAAACTGATATCACACTTTCAGAGATCTGCCTGCCTCTGCTTCCCGAGTGCTGAGACTAAAGGCAAGCACCTCCAAGCCTGGCTAAGATAGAAAAGTAACTTTTTTGGGGGGGTGGGGTGTCTTTTTGAGACAGGGTCTCCATGTAGCCCCAGCTGGCCTTGAACTCACAGAGATCTGCCTGCCTCTGCCTCCTGAGTGCTGGGACTAAATGCGTGCACCACCATGCCCGGCAGAAGAGTAATTTTTAAAAATTAATTAAATGAAGACTCCTACAAAACATTTTCCCTCAAGCCTTCAGAAATGGAATATCACCAACTACTGATTGTTCTAGGATTTTTACGTCATTTACAGTGTGACCTTGAGTAGAACCAGGAGTTAACATGCTCAGCCTTTAATTCTGTTGATGAATGTACATAAAAACTGAATTTTCATTTTGATCTGAATTTTGGTTTTGAGACAGTTTTGTTGTATGGCCCAGGCTGTCCTGGAACTCCATTCTCCTACCTCAGTCTGCCAAGTGCTGGGATTGCAGGCCTATGCTACCACACCTAGCTGCATTTTAGTAATAGATTGTAGACGCTTTATTGCTTCTGAAAAAGCTAGTTTATTTGTTGGTAACATAACTGTTTTCTTTAGGGGAAATCATTTAGTATCTTTTAGTATTAGATTTTATCAGTTTTTTTCAAAGAAGAACAAATCCTTTGAGATGTGACATACCTGATGGATCTTAAATATGGTTGCTTTCGGCACTCAGAGGGGTCTTCTGAAGTCCTGTGAAGGTATTGTCTTCCAAAATATTGTAGAAGGAAGTTGGCAAAAATACTTTCATTTATAAATAGTAACTAATAATTTTAATATATTTCTATTTTAGCATACATGGCATAAAATATCTTTCAACCTTACTCATTTAACAGCTGTCTTGTATTTTGTTTTCCCTTAGAGCTTATTTTCCTTTAGATGTGAATTGGAATGATGCTGGCTCCCTCTTGTGGTATAAGCTCATTCTGTCAGTTATATAAATCTTATAATGTAGAGGACAAATACTAGGTCAGTATAATTTTTTTTTTTTTTTTTTTTTTTTTTTTTTTTTTTTTTTTTTTGTCTTTTTGAGACGGTCTCGCTGTAGCCCCAGCTGTCCTGGAACTCGCTATGTAGACCAAGCTGGTCTTGAACTCACAGAGATCCGCCTGCCTCTGCCTCCCAAGTGCTGGGACTACAGGTGTGAGCCACCACGCTTGGCTTAGGTCAGTATAATTTTAAGGCTGACTAAAATGATTAATTTTACTCAATTCAACACAGTTCAAATACTTCCTGCTGAAAACCATTGTTTATTTACAATAAACTTAATACTTTCAGATACTTTCCTTTTTCTTCTTTTTTCTTTTTTCTTTCTTTCTCTCTCTTTTTTTAAAACTGTAGTCCCTAGTGAAATCTGGTTCATTTTTAATCCTGCTTATGAGTAGATGAACCAAAGAGAAATTTAAAATTCGAATCAGAGACACATGGCTTCATTGACTTTTCTATTAGAGATTATACTTTAGTTCATTAAATTTGCTAAGTCCTTACTTATCAGGAAATTATCCTACTTTAAGTAAATGACTGGTTGAAAGAAGAGATTTATGTAACATGCACAAAAAAATATATGAGAGTTTTATTTTGAACTGGTAGGTATTCCCAGTGCAAAATGTGGAAGAAGGTAAGTCGTCCAGCCAGGCTCTGCCGACTGGCCAAGTGAAGCTGCATAGCTGATGTTTATCAAGGAATCCGGGTATGACTGTATTTTACTAGCTGAGCAGTCACCATCAAGTGATGAAGGGTACAAGTTCCAGAGTCAGGCTGGCTCTACCACTTTCTTCCTGGATGATTCTAGGACTGCAGAGCCTCAAGTTTTTCACCTAAAAAACACCAGGGGTAGGGGTGGAGCTGGGTAGACATCTGCCTTGTTCAGTTTCCCAGTTCCTTGAAGTCAAAGTTTTCATCCACTCATTTTCGTATTCCAAATACCTAATATGTACTCTGCTAAATGGACAGAAAGTGAGGCCTGAGTGTGACCCACTTGGGGACTGCATGTTGTTCATGAAACTCTTTCCCCAGGTTGTTCTAGGAAGACCAAGAATGGCCAAACCTCTTGTAACTTACCGGAAGCAACTCTCAACAATATGCAGGGTAGTTAGGTCCATTTTGAGGAATGCCAGTGTCATTATGCCACCCAATCCTGGATAGGGTAAGTGGCATGATTCCGCCTGTGTGGAGAAGTGAACAAATGGAACAATATTATTACTCATCCACAGGCTGCCTGTAACTTAGTTCAGAGAACACCAAAACAGAGGTCTGTTCTGTTTGCTGCAGAGTGTTCTTAGAGGGTGAGTTCTCGCGTGTTCATTTAGAAGCTCGTCTTCAAGAAGTTAGGGGCACAAAGGGTGGGCATCCCCTGAGATGCTTGCTAGCACCTTTACACCTGTGAAGGAAAGGAAAATTAGCTGCATGGCTTTAGGGAATGGGCCCTGTCTAATATGGTCAGTTTTTTTCTGTTGTGCCGTTTCATTTTTCTATCCCTGCTGACTGCCACATGTATTAATCCCTTTCTAAAAAAAAATCTAATTCAGGGATTTGGAAATCGAAGTGCTGAGCTGAGCAGTATAAATGTAGCAAAGAGACAAGCTCATTGGCGTGGCTGTTCCCTTCTGTGGTATGTTTGTCCCGAATAGCTTGTTCTAAATCTGTAGGAACCATCTTTTAAAGAAATGTCTTCTGAAACATTTTGCTTGATCAGGCCTCTGACTGTTTCCTTGTTGTCATGGTAGGATACTGAGAATTTATGCTTACAACACAGTAAATTCCTTCCTGTCTTCTATTTTCTTATTTGGTTAGCCAATTAATTAAACTTCAACATAATTACATAATTCACTGTGCTCATTCCATAAAATAATTTAGCACCTTGCTTTTCAGAGCTGCCAGAAAGCAGAAGCAAAGAAAAAGTAATAAGATAAAAATGGAGCCCACTAAAGGACAGTCCATGAATCAAGCATCTGCTACAAGGAGAAAGAAGAGGGGAAGAGCCCATCAGTATCCTGCTCTTAAATGTCCAGTGACTTGAGAATAAGGAAGATTTATAGTCCAACCTTTGATGCCATTTTCTGCAAGTGCCACACTAGACTTAAATTCAGTTGCTTTCAAAGGTGTGCACCTTTCTGTGCTTGATAATAGGCAGGTGGCATTTGCTACTTTATAGTCCCCTTGGCTGCCTATTGGAGACCTGGGAGTTTTCCTTCCTCACCTGGTTTCTTGGCTCTCTCTCTACCTGCTTTTCCACTCTTTAAATTCCATCCAGTCTAATTTTGGTTTCTTTTGTCTGAAAAATGGGCAAACAGCATTCTTTTACATAAAATACCAGGTGATAATGCAAGTGAAAAATCTATGAAGTTTTCCCTACATCAAGCTTTTATGTCACTTTAGATATAAAAATACTTTGTTACATACAAAGCAGTGTGTTTAGGCACATCCAACCACAGTCCAAGGCCACGTGTATCCCAAGATAGCTATAAATATGGCCCAACACAAAATCATAAACTTATTTAAAACATGAGATTTTTTGTGTGTGTGGTTTGTTTTTCACAACTCGGTTGCACAGTTCTTGAGTGTGGACTCTAGATGACAGTGTCATGTTGCAGTGTCTAACGGTTGGACACACCCAAGCTTCCATAGGAAAGTGTGCTGCCTAATTATTTATAGATTCGATCTGAAGATGATAGGAAGAATTTATACAGAGGCACCCTAAAGGAATAAAGATTGCAGTTATTGTTATATTGTTATTCAATCTTTTTTTCCTGGTTGTCTTTTTTATTATTTATTTTTTTATATTTAGTGTGTGTGTGTGTGTGTGTGTGTGTGTGTGTGTGTGTGTGTGTGTGTGTATACACATGCATGTGCTTGTGCACTGCAGTATGCATGTGGAGGTCAGAGGACAACTTGTGGGAGTCAGTTCTCTCCTTCCACGATGTGAGTTCCAGGGATTGAACTCAGGTTTTCAGGCTTGATGATAAGATTGAACTCAGGTTTTCAGGCTTGGTGACAAGCACCTTCACTCGCTGAGCCATTCACTAGCCCCCCACCCCCCGTTGTTTTGTTTGTTTGTTTGTTTGTTTGTTGTTTTGTCTTTTTGATACAGGTCTCCCTATAGCCCCAACTGACCTGGAACTTTCTATGTAGATCAGGCTGGCCTTGAACTCACAGAGGTCCGCTTGCCTCTGCCTCCCAGAGGTGTAGAATCACTTAAATATTGGGTGGATGTTTAGAATTGTGACTTGTCAGTCACTTCACTGTCCTAAACTGTGTTATAAGCTTATCTCTTTGTGAAAGGAGTTGGTAGCAGAAGACAGGCTAATGATTAAACCCCTCATTCCTGTACTGAGAAACACTGCCTGGCTGTCTGGCCTTGGCCAAGTCCCTCTCTACAAGCCTCAGTGTCTTCATTTTGGCAATGAGAGCATCTCATATATTTCAGGTTTGGTTTGTGATTAAATGAGACACATATGCCTGGCTCTCTGTTCTCTGTTGTCAGAAAGCTCTGTAACGAATGAGGCCTGATGGTCATCTTTTGGACTAGTAGCATAGCACTGAAGGGAGTAGTTTGAACTCCCAGAATGAGCAATTCATTGCTCCATTGCTCTGCCGGATATCTGACTTTATCTCTTTAAGACTGTATAGTTTTAAATGATCTAATTTGCATAATGACTTTTCTCTTGTTCCCAAACAGCTGCTCTGGAACTCTTTGTGAAGCTTTCTGGCTTAGGGGGTTAGCTGGAGCCCTGTGAAAACTGTATCTCTTCCTGGTCAGCCAGGACTGCTGGATACATGATGTGAGACATTTAAGCATGGTGCAAATCAGAAAGGTAGTGGTGTACATCAGGTGACATCAAAAGGTGAGTTGATGGCTCAGTGAACAAAAGTGCTTGTTGTGCAAGCCTAATGACCTGAGTTCCATCACCAGAACACATGAAAAGCTGGATGCAGGGCACATATCTGTAATCCCAATTTTCCTATGTCCATACAGGAGGCAGAGATAGAAGAGTTGGTAGAGGCTCAGTGGGCCAGGTGGCCTGGAGTACCAGCACAGCAGCAGAAACAAGAGAGACACTACCTCAAAGCAGGGTGAAGGGGCTGGTATGGTGGCTTGTGCCTTTAATCCCAGCACTTGGGACGCAGAGGCAGGCCCCTTGAGTTCGAGACCAGCCTGGTTTACATAGTGAGTTCCAGGGCAGCTGGGGCTACAGGGAGACCCTGTCTCAAAAAGACCAAAGGGAGAAAAAAATAAACAGGGTGGAAGGAGAGAACCAACTCCCCAAAAGTTGTTCTATGACCGCCATATGTATGCTGTGGCACACATGCCTCTCTCTCTCTCTCTCTCTCTCTCTCTCTCTCTCTCTCTCTCAAAGGAATAATAATAATACTAATAAGACAAGTTAAGCTCTGGGACTTAATAAGCCTCAAGAAACTCTTCTCGTCATAACCCTGTGTTTTATAGTTGGTTGATTGTAGTGTTAGGAACAAATCCAGGATCTGTGCGTGCTGAGCAAGTGTTTTATCACTAAGATACACCCCAAGCCCCATCCTGTCCATTTGTTATACAGACTGCTGTAGTGATAGGAGAAGCGGGTCTGGAGGTGACTAAATGAACTGGAAATCACTTAGTTCCCTCACTGATTCCAACCTGGGTGGGGACATTGTGTGACTTCACTGTGTCCACCACATCATGGTCAAATCTATTGAATTCTATGAAACTCAGACACCTGAGGAACTGTGACCACTGAGATGGCCAGTGGTCATTTTTATCTCCATATTCCTTAATTTTAGGATAACATCAGCTATAAAATTCACCATTGAGCTGGATGCTGTGGCATACAACTATGGTCCCAGCTACTCTAGAAGCTGATGAGGGAAGGTTGCTTGAACCCAAGCGTTCAGGCCTAGTTCAGGCAACATAGTAAGACCCTGGGGAGGGGGTGGGGGACAATTGATTCACCATTGATTTTATCATAGCTTTTCCTGGGAGAAAAGGAACAGTACTAGAATTTTTAGATTTTCTGATTTTGGAAATATTGAAATACAGAAAAATTATATCTTAGAATTTAGGAACTTAATCCTTATTAGTAGTCGAGGATAATGTACCTTGAAACTTTGTGTCCAAAAAAACCCCTTGTGAACTTTGTGTCATAGTGACACATGTCTATAACTTAACTTCAGGAGGATAAGGCAGGGTGATCTGAAGTTTAAGACCAGCTTGGGCAACTTAACCAGTCCTTGTCTCAAGGTAAAAGCAGTAAAATAAGGGATGAGGGTATAGCTTAGTGGTAGAGCACTCGCCTAGCATGTACAGGGCCCTGGGCTCAATCCGCATTACCACAAAAATGAAAACGGGCCTGGAGAGATGGCTCAGCTGTTAAGAGCACTGGCTGCTTTTGCAGAAGACCTGGGTTTGAATCCCAGTACCCATATGGGGGCTAACAACTGTCCGTAGCTCTAGTTCTAGGAGATCCAACTCCCATTTCTGACCTCTATGATATTACCTGACATGGGTGCACTTACATACATGCAGGTAATACATTCATACACATAAAATAAAAATGAATAAGTCAAAAAATTTTAAATTAAAACAAAAAGTTACTTAAGTAGAAAATTAAAAATTAAGTGATATGGCAAATCTGTCCTTATATTCAATTAATACTGATTATAAGGACTTAACCGCTGTTCTCAGAGGACAAACTAATGGGAAAATGTCAGTTGTGTCTCTGGGAGTAGAATATGAGTTGAGAATGGGGTTAGTTGTTTTTATTAGAAATCTGAGTATTGGAACATTAAAATATGTGTTCAAGACGGCAATAGAAGATTCGTAAGTTTTTTTAAAAGATTTTTTTATGTGTATGGGTGTTTATCCTGCTTGTTTGTCAGTGCACCATGTGCTTACTATGCCTGAGGAGGCTAGAAGAGGGCATCAGATCCCCTGCAATTTGAATTACTGATGGTTGTGAGCCATCATGTGGGTGGTGGGACCTGAACCCAGGTTCTCTACAAAAGCAGCCAGTACTCTTAACCTCTGAGTCATTTCTTCAGCCCTGATTTCTCAGCTTTTTAAAGGAAAATTTTAAATAAGTAATTATAGGTAAATTTTATTCTACTTATATTAAAATTTCTGGTACTGGGACCAGTAAAATGACTCATTGAGAAAAGGCACTTGCCACCAAGCCTGAGTTGAACCCCTGAAACCCAATGGTGGAAGGAGAGAACCAACTTTTTCCTATTATTGGCTGACCTAACACATTTGCCCATAAGTATACTATACAAAAAGTAAATGAAAGTTATAAAGACCCAAACATTTGTGGTGCTTATATTATAGACTTTAATGGAGTCCAGAGCCATTCTGTAGGTCTTCACCAATCAGTTTCCAGAAGTTTTTCTTTATTAATCTAATACTTAAGCTAACTTATTCTCCAGTGTGCCCCTTGTTTACGACCTCTCCTGCCTTTCCTGCTTGGCACAGGCCCCTGCCTAATGGGATCTTCAGGCCTGGGCTCCTGTGACCCCGGTGCTCTGCTGTATCTCCTTGGTTCTGTACCATGTCATAGGCACTCTGACCTAGCTTAGTAGTCTGTGATTACGTTTGCAGATTTTAGTTCTCAAAAAAAAAAAAAAAATCCAAAAACAAAAACCCCCCACAGGCTTTCAGTGTCTACTAGTTTTATCTTGTTTCTTGTGCCTTGTGGCACTCAGTAAAAGTCCAGTGAAAGAACCACATCTTCTAGAGGCTTTGGAATGGTAGGCACAGCTGAGACAGGAAGAGGATCTCGGCTGTCTGCTGCTGTAAAACAGTGGAAAAGGGAGAGACCCAGATGACATAGGGAAAGAGCGTGAGGGCTGTTATAACATGGAGGTTCTAATATCAGGTGTGCTGGAGAAGACTGGTAGCCTTGGGTGCACATCTTTAAACTTGTAACAGTTGGGCTTTCGGAATAAGGAAAGCCTTTTGAGTTGATGCTCGGCTCCTTCAATGTAATCTAGAAAATGAAATTCAAAAACAGCCTAGAAAGGGCCTTGGTTTGCTGCCACCTCCTTCAGTGTCCTTTTTGTGCTCTCCCATGAAACTATAGTACATCTCTGGCCAGCAAAATAAAACACACTCTCTCTCTCTCTCTCTCTCTCTCTCTCTCTCTCTCTCTCTCTCTCTCTCTGTGTGTGTGTGTGTGTGAACTTTTTTCAGGGTACTTAAATTCTGTATCAGATGATTTGGTATATTTGTTTAGCTCCCTACAGATTAGAAACTGATGGCAGGGCCTCTTGCCTTCATTGGGTTTGATTGGAGATTCCCGTCATCATCACATATGACCTCTTTACATTGGAACCTGGCACCCCAAAATAACATGCTTTCCTGGTGGTCAGTGCACATAAATAGTGGCTCAGTGAATGGAAAGGGACCCCATCACACTTGGAGCTGCTGAGGTAAGGAAAGCTTCCACCAAATGCAAAGGAAAAATCCAATTTCAGTTATTTGATTTGATTTTAATTGGAACATTAAGACATGGGTTAAATTACTTGAGGGTTAGCTAAGAAGGTCATTGGAGTAAAGTGAAGATAAGATCTCTACTGTTTGATTGGAGGCATTTTTAGTATAAATGTTAGCTCAGCAAGACTGAGGAAAATAGCACCAAAAGTGATGGGGAAGATCTCAGAACTCCAAGAGGAGGCATCCCATTAGCTGTCACTTCAGAGGTGATCTAGTTTGGTTACACGTTACTCTGTGAACTAGCAGAGACAGGATGGTAGATGAGTACTCTAAGGAACTAAGCCTGAAGCTGTCCATGATGTAGAATGCGTGGAACCTAGCACCACACAGTCCACTTCACACATTCCTCTTGAAACTCTTTTACTGTGATCTGTTTTCCCTCCCATACCCAACTACTTCCATCTACCTTCCTCCCATCTAACAGCATAACATCTAGCTCTCTATTCTGAGTCTGCACCAACATCTGCCATCCTTAGAGTCTCAACCACTCCTTTCTTTTTCCATTCCTCCAGTCTCATTAACAATTGGTTTCTTTTCTACCTAGTACATCCACAGTCCTTTCCTTTTAAAGACACTAACTCTGCCCTAAGAATTACAGTCTTGCACAGCCAGTGAGTCCTCCCAATCTAGGCAATAGATTATCTCAAAATCCAGTCCCATACCATTGTCTGAATATGCCAGTGTATGTGCTAACCCAAACGGTGTGGTGATAAAGAAACAGCCTGGGGGTTGGAGAGGTGGCTCAGCAGCTGCTCTTGTAGAGGACCTGGGTTCAGTTCCCAGTACCCACATTGGTGGCTGACAATTGTGACAATTGTTTGCAATTCCAGTTCCAGGGGATCCGATGCCCTCTTCTGACCTCCGTGGGCATTGTGCAACATGGGTGCACTTATATACATGCAGGCAATATGATCATACACATAAAATAATAAAATAAAATAATGTTAAAAAAGAAACAGCCTAGTAACTGAAAAGTTATTTCTGGAACAATAGTTCTTACATTTCCACTCTACCCCCAATACAAAGTATGCACAGAGCATGGAGTTACTCAGAGTCTACTTTCTCTTGCATTTTGCACCCTCTTATCTCCTGCTCTTGAATTCTTGAAATGTCTGAGCCCTGAGACTTGGTCTTTTCCTCTGGATTCTGTGCCACGAAAGCATGAATGAGCCATTATGACAAAGCAGTGTTTTCGTAAGGTAGGGAAGGCCAAAAACAACCGATCTCTGCCTGCCCCTAACACACATGTAAGCTGCTGTTTCTTTTGTTTGTTTTTTTCAGACAGTATCCCTATATCCCCACCTGGCCTGGAACTCACTGTGTAGACCAGGCTGGGGTTGATGTCACAAAGATCCATCTGCCTCTGCCTCCTGAGTGCTGGGATTAAAGGCGTGTGCCACTACACCTGGTAAGATTGCTATTTCTTGCCCACACTTGGCCCTCCACACCTGTGCAGTTACCTGCAGGGAAGCACTCTGGAAAACTCATGCTCTTCCTTGAAGGTTAATGTGCAGGTAATTAGAGTTTGTGTCTGTTGTAGCACTGTGCTGATTAACATTTCTATGGACAATCATTTTCATGTGTTGTGTGGAAAATAGGCAACTTCTGTAAGAGTGGATAGATACCAAACACTCACCACCCAGACAGTCCATTATTATCACCCATTATTATCACTGACCCTGCAGTTCATGAATAACAAAGGCTAGTTCATTTTTGCCTTAGTTTGCTAAAGTGTTTGTAGCAAGGCCCCACATCTAAGAGGAAGCAGGGTAGATCACAGTGCCTGGCACAAAACCGCTAGGTGAGTGTTGGTGAATGATTGTGTCTTAAGCCTGACACCCTGACACTTCAGGGGCCTGATCCACCAGGAGGGCAAGACGGTGGGGAATGGGGCTTACTGAAAGATAAAGGCACTACCACTTCTTTCTTGTTTCTTTGATCAAGAAGTGAAAGGAACTGGTGAGGTAGTTCAGTTGGAAAAGTTCCCCCAAGTTTGATCCCAAGAACCCATGTTTTTTTAAATGCTGGACTTGGTGGCATGTGCTTGTAATCCTAGCTCTGAGAAGATGGGGACAGGTGGATGCCTGGGATTTGCTGGCCAGGTAGCCTACCTAGCCTGCTTGTCAAGTTTCATGCCAATGAGAGACCCTATATTAAAAAAAAAAAAAAGGACAGCACCTGAGGAATGACACCTGCGATTGTCCTCCGGACTCCACATACATTTGGACTCTTACGCACATGCACAAACAAAGGAGTGAAAGGCAGATGACATTCAACCTGAGTCAGACTCTACATGCTCATATATTTACATGTGTTCTTGGCAAGTGTGGATGCCCACACCTGTAGTCCTAGCATTTCAGAAGCTAAAGAGTACAATCACAAGTTTGAGACCATCCTGAATTTACATAATGAGAGACTGTTTTGAAAATCCAAACAGTGGAGGCAGGAGGAAGCAAATGTGCATTTAAGAAGCCAAGGCAGGAGAATCATGAGTTTGAGGCCAGTTCAAGTTGCATAGCAAGAACCCCCCCCCCCAAAAAAAAACAACCCAAAATAAATAAGCAAAAATAAAGAAATGAGCTGTGGAGATTGCTCAGTGGGTACAAGTGTTTGCTGTCCAAACATGAGAACCTGAGTTTAGGTCCCTGCAGGCCATGGAGTTGTGTAGCCCACATTCACATAATAAATGCTTGGCTAGCTGTAGAATAAACCTCGTGTGGGCCACAGCCCCCTTTCTCTATGGTGGGGTTGCTACAAGTTGTGCAATGCTCATTTAAGTGGGGTGAGGAATCAAAACGTTGTCTGCCGGTGTCATGGAAGTTGCAGTAGCTTTCCATCCCCTGAACTTCAGCTGTAACCCGGAATCATTCAGGTTTCTTTTTTTTTTTCTCAAGTAGTGGGTCTCACTCGGTGTCATTCCTATTTTAATTAGTCTGCTGGACCGCCACCTAGACAGGGAAATTTTTAAAATTTCTGCTGTGTAACCAGGGCTGAGAACTACCAAAAGGCTGTCAAAGGAGGCTTCAGCGGATCAGGACCTAAAGATGTGATCACGGTCTCAACCTCTGACTGTCCCTTTTCCTTCCGGGAAAGTGGAAAAGACCTGCGAAGGTCTCCAGAAATTTGTGTGCACAAAGATTCCTCTAAGTGCTGGGATGGCATCCCGCGACGGCCCAATCAGTCCGCCCAGAGCAAGCCCCGCCCACCTCCCCGCCCCGCCTCCAGCGCTATGGTAGCCACGCCCGCCCCCGCTCCGACCCAAGTCCCTAGCCTCAGGCTCCAGAGCCAACCCCGCCCCTTATCGAGCTCCGCCCACCAGCCGCCTCTGGGCCAGCTTGGCCCTCCCATCGCCCCGCTCCGCTGTTGCGCCGCCGCGCCACCCCCTTTTCTCTCGCGAGGACGCCCTGGCGTTGGTGCCGGAAGCTGCTTTTGCGCGGCGGGCGGAGGGAGAGGGCGGGGAAGGCCGGCGGCTTTGCGTAGGCCTAGGGCGCAACTCTGGCAGGTGCCGCCGTTGTAAGGGCTCTGCGCCAAAGGCTGGTGGCCGGTGCTCCCGAGGCTTCTAACTGGGCGTCGTTGTAGGGCCGCCCCCATGCTGCGTTTTCCGACCTGTTTCCCATCCTTCCGGGTGGTGGGAGAGAAGCAGTTGCCGCAGGAGATCATTTTCCTTGTCTGGTCCCCCAAGCGGGATCTCATTGCTTTGGCCAACACTACCGGCGAGGTGAGTGAGCCGATGCGGATTCTACCTGTCTTAGGAACCTCGAGCCTCAGTTTCCCTTTCTGCCCCATCTAACCCCGTCCGTACTTCTCAGCATGGCTGTAACTTTAAGTGAAAGTGTAAAGGATCGTATTTGCTAAACATGGTTTATATGCCCATTTCCTGTATTGTTCGAAGAACAATTTTCACAAAGTTCTGTTTTCCCGTCTCCAGTGATTTTCCTCTTTAGCTCAGGGTACATCATCCTAGTGGGCCCACAGACTCCACCCCAAGTTGGCTTTCAGTTTAGTAGCAGAATGAAGAATCTTGTCAAAGCCAACTGAGAGTGTGCATGTGTGACAAGCTATGGAGAGTGATGCTTTAGTGGGTTCCTGACAGAATGTGTATGAACATTGTCAATAAAGATTTCTGACTCACATTTGTAATGTGAACATCATCAAGTAAAACCAGATATTGCCCAGCTTTCTGTTACCTGGCTGCCATCTTGTAAGGGAACCTTCACCTGTGCCTCTTTGAGTTTCCCTGATAGTGGCTGGTGAGTGAGTGAGAGAGAGAGAGAGAGAAACTATGTGGTAAGGAAATCCTAACAGGGAATGCCGTGTGTGTGTGTGTGTGTGTGTGTGTGTGTGTGTGTGTGGTGTGTGTGTGTGCGCGCGCGCGCGCGCACTTGGGAAACTATATAGTAAGGAAATCCTAGTAGCCAGGGAAACTTAACCTGCAAAACTGCATTACCATGTTGTCTGCCTTGACTTAACTTGTAGGATATTGATGTGCAGATTCTCAGGGCTCTCCAGGAATGTTCTACTCTCCATCCTCTGCCAGGATACTTGGAAACTGTCATGGCTTTAGAAAGCAGCCTCAGTAGTACAGCTATGGTAGTAGGAAAGCAGTCAAGAGTATTGGGCATCAGAGGAGTGAGATGGGTAAATGTGTTTCTGGGTACTGTGGCTTCCATGTTGTCTAAGAAACAGCAAGAGCATTCATTGTTTAAGGGTGAGTATGGAGAAAGTTTGGAGAGGTTGAGGAGGAAGAAGAGATTGTGAAAAGCTTCCAAGGCAAGTGGACTAGGGGAACCTAATAGGATCGCTGGTCACTTAAAAATGTTTTTTCATTCTGTATTTATTGGACATTGGAACTGTGCTACATAAGGAATTTTCATACAAGTGTATCATGTACACTGAGCATTTTCTCTCCATACCACTTACTACTGGTCACTTTAAGAGCCACATGAGGCTTGTTGTGGTCTAATTTCTTAGTGAATATGGTTGTACCTGTTTATTCTATTTGGCAGTTTGGGTGCATGCATTGTGTGGTTTAACCAGGTTTTTTCTTTTTCTTTCTTTTTTTTTTTAAAGTATGACAAAGCAAAAGAGATGTGAGGGAGCTGAAGATGAACCTCAGATTCTAACTGAATCAAAGCGGTACATAAGGGCATATGTGTGAGGGACAGTGAACCAATGGGTCGTGTGTCCTGGTGAGGCTGTGTCCTATAGATGATTTGGAAAGAGGCAGTAAATGAAAACAGATTTTAACAGCATTGTGGTTGCCCATAATGACCAGGCTTAGGATGTGACCCTAGAAGTGGTTCAAATGAGGTAGATGTGATGATTGGAAGAGAGATAATTGAGAGCTGTTAGCAAGACTGACAGCGAGGGGGCTGGAGAGATGGCTCAGCAGTTAAGAGCTCTGGCTGCTCTTGCAGAAGACCTGGGTTCGGTTTCCAGCACCCACATGGTGGCTAACAGTTGTCGGTAACTCCAGTTCCAGGGGATCCATCACCTTCTTCTAACCTCCTTGGGCATTGCACACACATGGTGCACTTACATTCATGTAGGCGAAACACACACACACACACACACACACACACACATATAAACTAAAATAAGTAAATAAGGGGGCTGGAGAGATGGCTCAGCGGTTAAGAACACTGACTGTTCTTGCAGAAGACCTGGGTTCGAATCCCACCACCCACATGGCAGCTAACAACTGCTCATAACTCCAGTCCCAGGGGATCTGACAGCCTCTTCTGACGTCCGCAGGCATTGCATGACGTGGGTGCACTTACCTACATGCAGGCAATACATGCATACACATAAAATAAAAATGATAAAAATTAAAAAAAATTTTTTTAAAAAGTTAAAAATGTTGGGACACATGTGTGAGCCGGGTCTAGTTTATCAAGAAATGAGGGAATGACCCAGGGGCCTACAGCTGACTGCAATTAGTAGGAATTGTACTCTGGGCTGCATGAGATTCGAAGTTAGGGGATATTAAATAAGTCATCCAGAAGTGACCTCAAGAATTGAGGATGTCTGCTTCATCTCTTAGCCCACTGGGAACAGGGGATACAAACCACTGCCACCTGAGAGTGTCACAAGCGTACCATAGGTGAGAGGCCTGTCTGGCTTGGAGAGGTGATGACAAGCAGTTCACAGAAAGAATGAAGTAGGGAATTGTGGCACTTGCCTGTGAATTCCCAATGGCACGGGGTCTTTGAAAGTTTTGGATGGTGGGGTTGGTTACAATGAAGAGAGTTAAGCACAGTAGATGAGTCCTGGGTTCCATGGTGACACATATCACCAGAATTGGAGGATACTCTGTTCGGTGAGGCAGCAGGCTGTGGTGAGGGTTCATCTGTGGGCACGGGTGTGGGAAAAAATCTTTTCAGGAGCACACCAAGGTCTCAGACTTGTCTGCTTTACTTTCAGTGGTGGTAGTGTTTTGAAACAATGAGCCCCTGGGGACTCATGTTGACACTCAAAGTGAACATTACTGATGTGAAAATGGAACTTTAGGATGGATAAGTGACTTTTCTAAGATCCATGGCTAGAAAGTGACATAGCTGAAAACAGGTGCTAAGAGGTTTGATGGTAATTTTTTTTTTTAAAAAGAGTGATTTTAGAATTTTTATTTTATGTATATGAATGTTTTGCCTGCATGCATTAAGTGTACCACATGCGTGCCTGGTACCTTCAGAGGACAGAACAGTATCAGATCCCCTGGAATTGGAGTAAGGATGATTATTAGCCACCATGTGTGTAGTAGAAATCGAACCTGGGTCCTCTCTCTGCAAGAACAACTAGTGCTCTTAACCACTGGAGCTGTATCTCCAGCCCTGCAGTTTTTTTAAATTAAGAAATAATTTTATTTTATGTGTGTGTTTTGTCTGTATGTATGTAGGTGTGTGTGCAATGCCTGTGGAGGCCAGAAGAAATTTTCTTTAAACTATGCAGTTTAAACAGCTACCTTTTACACTTCTTCTTCAAGAAAGAACCAGTTTGTATTCTTTCTTGTATTGTGGTCTTGCACAGCCTTCTTAACCCTTTCTGACAAGGGACTCTATTATAGGTTAAACTAGGTCTTCTCATTTCACACATTTCTTTGAAAATGTCCTGCATTCACTCAAGATACTGTTTACTTCCACTCTTCTGATTGATAAGTATTATATTGAGAGTGTTCTGTGGATCTGTGTTCATTTTATTTCTGAAAATGAATTTATGACTTCTGCTGTTTTATCTTTTTATCTTAGGTTTTACTTCATCGACTTGCAAGTTTTCAACGAGTTTGGAGTTTTCCACCAAATGAAAATACAGGGAAAGAAGTGACCTGTCTGGCTTGGAGACCAGATGGCAAACGTAATAATGCTATACTTTTTTTCTCATTTTCATAAAGTATATTCTAAAAAGAAAGTCTGTCTTCAGTAAGAATATTTTTTTCTTGCTGTATGTTAGAATTATGTTTTGTTGTTGTTTTGTTTTGAGGCAAGGTCTCACTCTATAGCCCTGGCTGGCCTGAAACTTGCTATGTAGACCAGGCTGGACTCAAACTTACAGAGATCTGCCTGCCTCTGCCTCCTGGGTGCTGAGATTAAAGGCATGCACCACTGTGCCCAGTCCTGTATTAGAATTATAAATTCCAGTTTGCTATTTTTTTTCTTTAGAATGCTTTGAAATTTTTTCAGGGGCTGGAGAGATGGCTTAGCAGTGAAGAGCATGTACTGTTCTTGCAGAGGACTCAAGTTCCATTCCCAGCACCCATGTCCAGTGGATCACAACTGCCCATAACTCCAGCTACATGGGTATCTGATGCTTCTGACCACCTCAGGCACCTGCACACATGCACATGCACACACATGCACAATAAACAATAATAAAAATCTTTTTTAAAAGACCTATAAATTTTTCATGTAATTCCATTGTGGTAAAGATAGCCTGTAATGAACTCTGGCTTTTTGGCAGGTACAACTGAAGTGAAGTCCTACAGCATTTAATCCAAATGCCATCTGCTACTCACCAGTCATTCAGTGGCATCATATTCATCACATTCATACACATTTCTCCCCCAGATGTACTTAGCACTAACCGTGAGGCTCGTGGATATTCTTGTTGTGCTGTTTGCCACACAGGGGGCCCATCAGCTGTGACTCTTTCCTATTTCTGTGTGGTCTTTTCCCTGCTGCCTTCATATTGTAGCTTGGGGTGGCTCTGAGGGTTGAACCTGCATGTCTTTCTTTACACTGGCGGTCCTTATTGAGCTGTTGTACACATAGTCAGTATGGGAAAATGCTGTAGTCCTGTATTTTGAAGTTCATCTCTTGCTGGGTGTGGCGGCACGTGCCTTTAATCCCAGTACTCAGGAATCAGAGGCAGGCAGATCTCTCTGAGTTCGAGTCCAGCCTGGTCTACATAGTGAGTTCCAGGTCAGCTGGGGCTACAGGGAGACCCTGTTGCAAAAAAGACCAAGAAAAAAAAAAGTGAAGTTCGTCTCTCAGGGGCATCCGTCCTGCAGCCTTTAGGCCACATGGAGTTGTGAATACCTGTGAATGTGACTTAACACAAAAATTGTAAATATGCTCAAAAGTTGGGAATTTTTTGCAATGTTTTTGTAACTTGATTGCACAGAGTGTGAACTTTGTAGATAACAGCATTGTATCACAAAGTCAAAAGGTTGAATACACCTGAAGGTACTTTAAGGAAAAAGTAAATTGATTTTGTAAAATTAATATGTCCTCTTAGGATCTATTTATTTATTTATTTATTTATTTATTTATTTATTTGTCTTTTTGAGACAGGGTCTCCCTATAGTACCAGCTGGCCTAGAACTTGATATATAGACAAGGCTGGCCTGAACTCACAGAGCTCTGCCTGCCTCTGCCTCCCGAGTGCTGGGATTAAAGGCGTATGCTACCATGTCCAGCTCTTCTTGGTGTTATATAAATACTTAAAAATTCTTTGAAAGCCTACCACTTAGCAATAGCTGTGTTTGATGTACAATTTGATAAAAATACATGCTGTCCAGATCTTTCATGAGAACTCTTTTGATATTTCCAGAGGTTTCGTTTTGGCTCAGTGTGGATAGATTCATGGATTTACCATGTTAATGTTAAATGACTACATACTAACCCGTTGTATTTATATGTTGTAATTTACATCTGTCCCCCATGGTGGATGTTTAACTCGTTGCTACTTTGTGTCTTTTATGAGCAATGCTGTAAAATGCTGAACATACAGAACCAACTTTATATGAGTAGTTCCTTAGATTAATTCCCCAAGTAGGATTTCCAGGAATGCTTTAAAAATACCATATTCATTTTGTACTCATTTTACTTAGAAGATGAATAGCGTATATCAAATTAGAGGAATCTGGGCTAGTGAGATGGCTCTGTGTAGGTAAATGTGTTTGCTGCCAAGCCTGATGAACTGAGTTTGATCCCTGGGACCCACATCTTAGAAGAAGAGAATTGACTTCCACATGTTGTCCTTTGACCCCCACACATGCCATGATGCACACATGCCAACACTCATACACACAAATAAGGGGATTTGGTCTGTCCCCCGCCCCCAGTGTTAAACTCAGGGCCCCCTACATGCCAGGCATATGCTCTATTACTAATCTGTAACTCTAGCTCTAAAGTTATGGGTTTTGTTTTTCATTTTTTGAGATAGGGTTTCTGTAGCCTAGGTTAACCTTGAACTCATGACAGTCCTCCTGCCTCATGCTTATAAAATGCTGGGATTTCAGGTTTGAGCCACTACACCTAGCTTATTAAGATTTTTTTAAATTTTATTTTTATTTTGTATGTATGAATGTATTGCCTGTACATAAGTGCACCTGTGTCATGCAGTGCCCTCTGAGATCAGAAGAAGGCATTGGATTACCCTGGAACTAGAGTCAGAGTCAGTTGTTAGTGGCCATGTGGGTGCTGGGAATTGAACTTGGGTCTTTTGCAAGAGCAGCCCATGATCTTAACCACTGAACCATCTCTCTATCCCCTTATGAGGATTTTTTAAAGTAATGTTTTTGAGGACCTGCTTATGTTACTTATAAGTGCAGGATCCCAGCTTAAATCATGAAAGTCAAGTGTGTGTTAAAAAGTGTGGTGGCGCATGCCTTTAATCCCAGCCCTCGGGAGGCAGAAGCAGGCGGATCTCTGTGAGTTTAAGGCCAGCCTGGTCTACATAGTGAGTTCCAGGCCAGCTGGGGCTACAGGGAAACCCTGTCTCAAAAAGATTAAAAACAAAACAAAACAAAAAGCTTATTTAAACAGATCGTTTTATGTATTTTGTTAGGAAATGATCATTTCAAGTGTTTCACGTGTTTTGATAAAGGATGCTGAAGCCTAGCCTGGTGGTGCAAGCCTATAATCTCAGCTACTGGGCAGGCTGAGGCAAGAAGAACTTTAACTCAATAGTGAGTGCAAGATTAGCTTGGGCAATTTAGTGAGACCCTGTAAATAAAAAGAGGTTTGGGCATTAGAGGACATCTTGGTCATTTCCAATAGCTAGATTATAAATAAAAATGCTATTAATATTCATGTTTAAAAAAAAAAGGAAGCCCGGCAGGGTGGCGCACGTCTTTAGTCCAGCACTTGGGAAGCAGAGGCAGGCAGATCTCTGTGAGTTCAAGGCCAGCCTGGTCTACATAGTGAGTTCAGGTCAGCTGGGACTACAGGGAGACCCTGTCTCAAAAAGACCAAAGAGGGTTTTGGACATGTTTATGGGGCCAAAAGTGTCTTGGTGATAAGATTTAATCTCTTGAGACCTGCTAGGTATTGTCTGCTTGGAAAGAGTGTTCTAGTCTAGAAACTGTTGTGTAAGATAGTAAATGCAGTAGGTGAAAAGCAGATTGGTCATGTAGTTTGAGCACTTGAAAATGGGCTTAGTTTTGCATAACTATATACAAAGATCTCTTTAGGTTTTAAAATATTACTTAGAGGAATACATTTTATTACTCTTACTGTGTGTGTGTGCCCATGTGCTGAGCTCAGAGGACAACTTGCAGAAGTCAGTTCTCTCCTTTCAGATGTGGGTCCTGGGGATCAAATTCAGGTTGTCAGACTTGGTAGCAAGTACCTTTACCTACTCAGCCATCTTGCTGGCCCTAGAGGAATAATGTTTATGTCAAGTGATTTGTATAATTAAAATGTGTTTGAAATAGTAAAACTGGCTGGGCATGGTGGCGCATGCCTTTAAACCCAGCACTCAGGAGGTAGAGGCAGGTGGATCTCTGTGAGTTCAAGGCCAGCCTGGTCTACATAGTGAGTTCCAGGACATCTGGGACTACAGTGAGACCCTGTCTCAAAAAAAAAAGAAATAGTAAAACTGGACAGTAAATGAAACGCACATGTATTTTTCTCAAATGTTATGCTAATTTATTCTTTTAATTTTTATCTTGTTTTAGTTTTGGCCTTTGCTCTCGCTGATACCAAGAAAATTATTTTGTGTGATGTAGAAAAGCCTGAAAGCTTGCACTCTTTCTCTGTGGAAGGTCCAGTTTCCTGTATGCATTGGATGGAAGTGACTGCGGAAAGCAGGTAGCGTGTCACAAAGGGATACATGGAAAATATCAGACTGGCCTGTGTTTCTTCCTGAAGCGAGTTCTTTTTATGTTGCTAGGCTGGCCTCAGAGTTGAGATCCTCCTCTTTCCCAACCTTCCACATGTTGGGATTGTTACCGTGCAGCACCACTTCCAGCTGGAGTTTTCAATTTTTAGAATGGAAATGAATGTTGTGTTCTGAGTGTGTGTACGTTGCAGTGTTTGAGTTTATCAAGATGAAATGGTTGTGTTTTTATTGTTGCATTTATTTATTGTGTGTCTGTGCGTGTGTGTGTGTGTGCACCTGTGCACGTGCCCATATACATGTGTGTTTCATAGTGCATGTGCAGAGGTCAGCGGACAGTTTGCGGAAGTTGGTTCTCTTCATTTTGTCATATGGGCTATCCTGAGTTTTTTTTAATTTTTATTCTTTAAATTTAAGGCAGGGTCTCATGTAGCCCAGGCTGTTCAGAACTTACAGTGCAGCTGAGGATTAGCCTTGAACTGATTCTTCTTCCTCTACCTGGGATTCGTTGCGATTACAGGCATGGGCCATGGATAGATGACATGAAATGTTTTAATGCTGTGTTACATTTATTTTTTCTAAAAAAAAAAAAAAAAACAAAGAAAACCTATTTTCTTATTGAAGCAGCAAAGCCTGAAGGACTAAGATTTTTCTCCTACTTTCATTCGTTTATATCAATGATTTTATTAATTAAAATTTCTGATTAGGAAGTTTTACCGTTTATTTTGTGGGAAGCTTTTCCCATGTCATAAAGTATGAAAAGTGTTAAATTGAATGTGCTGTCCTGATAGAATAGGTTGTTTTTGTGTCCTTGATCTTGATATTATCCTTGTTTCATGAAACCACTTTGCGTTAATCTGTGTAGGCAGGTAGTGTATCAGAATTGCAGTGGAAGTGGACTAAGCATCAGTGAGTTTGTTTAATGGGGAGAGGGAGGATCTTTTTGAAAATATAATGCACTTTTTTTTTTTCCAATAGCTTTTTCTTCCTAATTTTTACTTAAATAATGTCAGTGAACTTGTAAACCCTGAATGTTAATTGACAACTTTCCTAAGTGGAGCCTAAAAGAAATGGATGATGGGATTTAGCCTGAGGCTTGAAAGTCATTGTAGATAAACTGAAATGATTAAGCATCCTCAAGTAGTTAAGGATTGCAAATGATTATGAGTTACCTGCTAAGTACCTTAACAAGTACATTTCTAATGGCTTAGAAATGTCCCATCCAGGAACATTCCTAGGATCTCAGGACAGTACTTTGTGTTCAGGTGTGAAAAATGCTAAGTCATCACTTTTTCACTTGCTCACTCATTTATTTCCAGCTATATTTGGAGGTAGAATTGATCAAGAAAAGGGGATAAATCTGACTATTCCTGAGCCATGCACATACCTATAATCCTAGCTAAAGACTATTTCAAAATTCATGGTTTGGGTTAATAGACCTTCTGACTTGCCAAATCCCCAAGTGTACATAAGCCACAGAGCCAGTAATTAAATAACATAACCACAGTGCTCTTGACTCTTGGTACTTGTGTCTTTGGTCTGGTTTCTTAGATGAGAATTTGGAAATCATAAATTCTCAGTCTATTTGAGTATTGAATACATATAAATGTTTCTTTCATATGCTAAGAAAATTATTGGTATTTATTCTTCTCTATATAAAGGCCAATATGATTTGTTTGAAAGAAAACCAAATTCCTCTTTTTCCATTTCTCATGTGGGGTTGTTAAAATGGTTTTACAAAGGTAAAATATTTTTGCATCTATTTATGTGGCAAAGTTATAAAACTGGGAGTCTATAAAATCACATTCTTATTGGAAAGAGAAATAGAATCTTTGCTGTTGTATAATGCTTGGTTCTCCCTCCCTTTTAGTGTTTTAACGTCCTTTTATAATGCTGAGGATGAATCCAATCTTCTCTTGCCTAAGCTGCCCACGTTGCCAAAAAAGTATGTATCAGTGTCATTTCTTTGGGATGAGTCTTGTGGAGTTCTCTTTCTTCTGCCTTTAACACTGCCAGTGGTCTCATACATTTCTTTGAAGAAATTCCCTTATCTCTGTTTTCTCCTAGTTACAGCAGCACCTCAAAAATATTTAGGTAAGTATACCTTCTTATTTCCAAATAAAGTTGTCTTTTATGATTACTGAAAGATGACCCAATTTATTTTTTTTATATTTTAGTGAAGAAAATTCTGATGAAATTATTAAGCTCTTGGGAGATGTCAGGTAAATTTTACAGATATCTTGAGTCTGATTTCTTGAAGTTGATATTTCATATTTGAGGTAGTTTTCAGAATTTTGAAGAGCAGATCCTACTGTCTTTTTGATGTTTCTGAATAGCCCACAATGTCAGTGTTTGTTGTTTTGTTATGTGGTCTTTGCTTTTGCCAAATTTTAATAATGCTACAGTATACCTTAAGAAGATAGAAACTCAAGAGGCAGAGGCAGGTGGATCTTTGAGTTTGAGGCCAGCCTGGTCTACATATCTAGTTCCAGGCCAGCTGGGGCTACCCTGTCTCAATACCAAAAAAAAGAGAGAGAGAAGATAGAGTTTCTAGCTTTAATTTTAGTATTCTAAGTTCTTTAAGCCTATTGAATATGTTTTTCAATCCTTTCCATGGCAAAACTGATGGCACTATGTATTAGCTAGCAAAGGATCATTTTGTTACTGATTGTATGTAAATCCAATTGATAGTATGTGATTTTAGTGTAAATTATTATTTTTTTTTTTTAGGTTATAGGAAACTTGTGTTTGTTCTTTTGAGAGGAAAAAAAGTGTTAAGGCCTGCAGCCTTTGTTAGTGGTAGGGCGCCCTGCCTTCCAGCGCCCTCTGCAGGCAGCTGTAGGTGTTGGGCGCAGGAGCAGTTCCTGGCTTGGTTTAGGCATGTAGGCAGCTCTGCTGTTGATCGGTTCTCAGCTTGTTACATTTTCTTTTTAAAATTAGGCTTAACATTCTTGTCCTTGGAGGAAGCTCTGGATTTATTGAGCTTTATGCTTATGGAATGTTCAAAATCGCCCGAGTCACAGGGGTAAGTTTTCCTTTAAAGTTTTCTCTACTGTTTCTTAAAGCAGCTACTTTTTTTTTTTTTTAAGAAACAGTAAAGTAGCTGCTTTACTTATGAAATAAGAATAAAGCAAGATTTTTTTTTTTAGCAGTTCATTCTTAAATGTTTAGAGGTTAATTTTAGTAAGCTCAAATAGTGGTATAGTGTCTGTATCAATCAAGAACAATTAAAACTAATCAAGTTTTTTCCTTTTACAAAATGATTGATATAGTCTACTTGATGACGATTTACTGATTTTCAAGCCTGAAGTGGACAGGAGTTACAGTTTGTGATTGGATGTAATGGAGGTCACCAGAAGCTCAGTACCAAGTGTCCCAGTGTTGTGAAGTCTTAGTCTTCTCTGTAGCTTTTGCTTATCATTCCCTGAAGGAGGAGAATGTTATTAGGCTCTGGGGAAGATGTTGGGTTCTCCAATATTTGGTATGGGACCTTTCATGGGAGGAAGACCAGAAATTAGTGTTGGTATGCCCTTGTGACTGGGAAGGGCCAAATGGGAGGACACATAATATTCACCCACTCCATGGGTATGTCAGGAACCAGGGGTGTGGGTTTTACTTTTTAAAGCTCTATGGCAGTTTTTCCTTTCAGTATTGTAAACAGATACAGCCTGTCAGTAATACCAGCTATATCGGGCTGTGGGGATGACTGTTTTGCAGGTTGCTGGCACTTGTCTTGCTCTGTGTTTATCAAGTGATTTGAAGTCGTTATCCGTGGTCACAGAGGTTTCTACTGCTGGTGCCTCAGAAGTTTCTTACTTTCAGGTAAGTAGTAGTAGGTACTGTAGGACTTGGGGCCTCACTCATGCAGAGCATCTCTACCACTGATCAGTACCCACTAACCCTTCCAAATCTTTATTGTTCATATCACTGGAGCCTAATAGTTACCAAAACAAAAAAGTGTTCTTGGGATTCCTAAATTTATATGCTATTACAGTGAGCATTGTTTCCTGCATACTGTTTCGTAAAAGCCGTTTTGATGGACTATTAGTGGGTTACTAGGCCAGTTTAACTTTATACTGAGTGTCTTTTTAGGGTCCTGTCCCTTGTTATAAAAAAAGGCTAATATTTATTTGTCCCTTAATATGTGCCAAGTACTCAGCTTCAGGTACAGCCATCTGACGGGTCGCTTCTCTTGTCCTCATCTGTAGGTAAGTATGAGGGCTCACAGGGCAGGTGCACAGAGCGCCCGCAGAACTAGTTCTACGTCAGAGAATGGAAAGTGATGCTGCAGTTTCTGGCTCCAGAGTCTGTGCTCTTAGCTAGTGCGTTGCTCTGTGTGTAAGATGATCAATTTGTATCAGGAAAAACCTTTAAAAACATTTCATGTGGCTTGTATTATAGACTAGGAAAGTTTTTGACTGGTCTCTGTATTTACACTATGTCTTGCTTTGTCAAGAGAGCTTCCCCAGTTTTTCTTCTGAAAAAAAGATTTTTAGCCTAAGTATGTTTAAACTGTTAAAAGAAGTATAAAAAAGATTCTAGAGGTGATGTTTGCTGTTCCTTCCAGCAGTTTCTGTGTTCAGAACATCAGAGAACCCTCAACTGAGGATTCACGACTGTGGTTGTTCACGTTTGCTCTTTGTTCTAAGACTGAGAAACTATCAATTAGTATGTTTTCATTTGAGCGCTAGGAAAACTACTTGCTTTTTCCTGTGAGGTTTGTGATAGATTTTTTTTTTTTCATATTGAGTCTCATATAGTCCAGGCTCAAACCTATATGTAGTTGAGGATGACCTTGAATAATCCTGATCATCCTGCACATACTTCCCAAATGTTGGGTTCACAGTTATGTACCACCAAGCCTAGATTCTTTTTTTTTTTTTTTTGAGACAGGGTCTCTCTGTAGCCCCTGCTGGCCAAGAACTCACTGTGTAGACCAGGCTGACCTTGATCTCACATAGATTTGTGAGCCTCTGCCTCCCAAATGCTGGGATAAGGCTTTGCTACCATACCCAGCTTAGAGTAGATACTTTTAATGGCAGCATCATTTGAGATATAACTCATACCATTGTTATTTTATTCTCCTTGCACTTTTCCGTAACATTTAATTCTTTCTACTTACTAGAAAATTTTGCATTCATTTGTGGTCACTATTTAGTTTTCTCATAACACTGTTCAAAGCAAGTTATTTCGTGTTTAGCTACATACAAGGGAGTGATGACTCAGAGTCCTGCCCCGGTTGGAAATCCTGAGGTGGTCATCTGTTAGTGTCTGAACTATGTAATCCTTACTGGGGGCAGAATTCTGACAGTCTTTCTAGCATGTAGTTAGAGTTAAACTATTCTCTAAGCCATGGAGATACTTTTGAGCTGGACTGAAGTAATTAGTCTTTAAAAGACAACAAATGCTTCTTGTGACTCATTTTCTCCTTTTTATTTTATAGCTTGAAACCAATCTTTTGTACTCCTTCTTACCTGAAGTAACTCGAATGGCCAGAAAGTTCACTCATATTTCAGCTCTCTTACAGGTATGTATCATAGCCTGCTTTTATGTTAGCATTTACTGTAAGCATCAAAGTTTCCATAAAGAAAAATCCTCCAAGCTGAGCACGGTGGCACACACCTTTAGTCCCAGCACTTGGGAGGCAGGTGCATCTCTGTGAGTTCAAGGCCAGCCTGGTCTACAGCAAGTTCCAGGCCAGCTGGGGCTACACGGAGCCCCTGTCTCAAAAAGACAAAAAAATAAAAAATTTTAAAAAAGGGAAAAACCTCCAAAAGTTTCTGTTGTTAAGCTACCTGCTATATGGGTGTCTAGTTTGCTAATCTTACAGTTTTTATTAAAGCAGGCGAATCTTCTATTAGACCCTGTTTACCACATCCGAAAGAGAGGGAAAAAGTACTATAAATTTTCTAAAATATTTTCATAATTAAAATGTAACAGATTTTATTACAAATAAGATTTTGTGGAAATATAGTCTTCATACTAATTAACTTTTGTTCCTAATAAACCTACCCTAAGTCAGCTCACAGTTTTGTAGGATTGCAATGTGGGCTGGGCTCATCCAGATGGTTCCACAGATCTAGGCGTGGTGTAGTTCACCTTAAGGAGGCAAGTCTCTGCTCCACATTCCTCATTGTTTAGCTGGTCAGCCAGTGGTCCTTCACATGGTGATAGCAGCAGGAGCCTCAAGAGTTTGAATAGAAGTGTGCAAAGATTTTTGAGACCTTAGACTCACCACTGCTGTTTCTCCTGTGTTCTGTTAGAGCAAGACACAAGCCAGCCGAGATTCAAGGGCTAGACTGTGTATCTGGATGGAGTACCTACAAAGAATTACAGATATTTTTGTTTGTTTTGTTACAGTCTTTAATTTACTTGATGTTAAAGATCCTAGAGATTGGTATCTTCTTTTTTTTTGTAGTATTTTATTTATTATTTTATGTGTATGAGTGTATAGCCTGCATGTATGTGAGTGCACCCATGTCATTCAATGCCTCAGAGGTCAGAAGAGGGCTTTGGATTCCCCTGGAACTGGAGTTAAGGATGGTTCATAGCTGCCATGTGGGTTCTGGGAATCAAACCTGGGTCCTCTACAAGAGTAGTCCGTGCTCTTAACCACTGAGCCATTTCTCCAGATTAGTATCTTTTTAAGGTCCTCTGACAGCTGAGTAGCTGAACAGAGCAGCTTTTTGACAGTACACATAAAGCTTATAAAACTCTTGAGGATGTCTGTTTTACCAGACACAAACCTAGGAATGTCTTACTGTAAGCTTGTAAGAATTCCTGGATGTTCTACAGTTGCTTAGTTAGATGACTGCCAATGCTAAGTTGTGGTCTCTCTTCCTATGGCTTCCTGGAGTTAAAAGAGTGATTGAAAGTAAAGTCTGGATTGCTTCATGACACTTAACCAAAGAGCATATTGGTTAGTATGTCACTGTAAATACTTACTATTTTACTATTTTTTTTTATTTTTGTTAATAGTATATAAATTTGTCACTGACGTGTATGTGTGAGGCATGGGAAGAAATACTGATGCAGATGGATTCTCGCCTCACTAAGTTTGTGCAGGTAATATATTAATAACTATGTTGTGGAGAGAGTTTGAGTGCATATCAGAACTAAGCCTGGGCTCATGCTTATAATACCAGCATTAGAGAAAGCAAGGCAGAAGGATTTCTATGAGTTCAAGGCCAGCATGGGTTATAGAATGAGATCCTGTCTTGAAAAAAGGGTGGGAAGTAACTGGAGAGATGACTCCATGGTTGATTGTGTGTTGCTCTTCCAGAGGACCCCAGGTTGGGCAGGTCACAACCATGGATAACTCCAACTCCAGAGGGATCCGATGCCTCTAGCCTCTGTGGGCACTACATTCATGTGCAAATACTCTGCCCATGGAGATCAGAAGAGTGCATCAGATCCTCTGGATCTGAAGTTACAGGAGGTTGTGAACTGCCATGTGGGTGCTGGGAACTGAATCTGGGTCCTCTGGAGGAGCAGAAATCCTCTTAAACACTGAGTCATCTCTTCAGTCCTGTGTCCGTATACTTTTGAATAAATATGGTCATAAAATATGTCTCACTTTTTTTTTCATTTTGTGTAGGAAAAAACTACAACCACATCAGTACAAGATGAATTTATGCACTTGCTGTTGTGGGGGAAAGCAAGGTAATAAACCCACATCTTGATCTGACTTTCTTTTTCTTTTCTCTTTTATTAACAGTAAATTTTTCAAAAGTAAATATATTCATTATAGAAATAAAATAGAAAATTCTGGTACATAAGACCAAAAGTGTGGTATGTGTATGTCTAGGATTTTGTATGAACTTTAAAAAATATTTATTTTATGTGCATGAGTGTTTTGTCTGCATGTATGCAAGTACACCTGTGCTGTGCAATGCCTGTGGAGGTCAGAAGAGGGCATTGGATTCCCCTGGACTGGAGTTACAGATGATTGTTAGCTACCATGAAGGTCCTAGGAACTGAACCTGGGTCCTCTGCAAGAACAGCCAGTGTTCCTAACCATTGAGCCACCTCTCCAGCCCCTCTATGAACTTTTTCATATAAATGTGATAATTTTATATGTATGTGTATTTGTTAAATGTATAAAAATTTCAAATTTTTTCCTACCTGGGACCTTGTATAGATGTGTCCAGAGTGATAATTGAACATTACCCCTCTGCTGATTAGAAGTGAATACTTCAGTCTTTTTCTGAACTTTATCGTGTCCTGTTTCTGCCCCTTTGTGAATACAGCAAAATCCTAATTTTCATTGGTCTATTTCTTCATGTTTAAAAATCTTGTTTTTACTTTGAAATTTGTTTTAAGTGGTAGAGTTTGAATGGAGAAATGACTAAAACACTTTCTTTTTTGTTATAGTGCTGAACTTCAGACCCTTTTGATGAACCAGTTAACAGTAAAGGTGCTGCTAAAGTGTCTATGTATATTTAAATAGCTATGAACATATTCTTAATTTTTTTTAATCTTTTGAAATGGCATATAGTATCCTAAATATATTTTCTTCTCTTAATTAGGGCTTAAAAAAGCTTGGCCAGTCTATAGAGTCATCATATTCGAGTATACAAAAATTGGTTATAAGTCATTTACAGAGGTATGGAGATGATGTAGAATTTTTTGGTATTGCATCCACACATAGATGGGATTGGTTTTCTTTCTGCTTTCTTTTTTGCATAATCAACTTTGTCTTTTCCAGTCTTTTCTAGCTGTTTGCACTAGCGTTTGAAGGGGAGTCATGGCATGCCCAAGAAATAAAGTCAATAATGATGATTCTTTGTAATTTTCCAGCATCTTTGCATCATGCTAGTCCACCATCTGGGCTTTTTTCTCACTTAATCGTGAGATGTTATTTTGAAATAGGCCGTGTACCCTTTTTTTTGAGCAAAGAAGTTAAGTACATCTATATATTATCTTAAAGCTTCTAATATGTTTGGTATTTTTTTATTTAACACCTTGGCAGTTTGTGAAAAGAAGATAATCAGAACAGAGAGTCAGTTATGTGTCTGGCCCAGAGTTCCTCAGTCAGTCTTCCTCCTGGCTTTTCCAGGCCTCGTGCCACAGCAGCTTGAGTGAAGCAGTTTGCAAGTGGCTGCCGAGTGTTTGGTTTATGTTTTGATGAATCTTTTCATGCTGGGTACCTAGCTCTGCCCCTGGTCCCCTTGGGTCTCTGAGGACCCTCTGCATTGGTCTCTTCCAGACCACATTATGTCTCTTGACTATATTTCCCCCAGTGAATCTAATGATAACAGTTCTTTAAAAACCTTGTAGTTTCTTTGCTTTGCTCTTAGAAGCAAGAACTTTGCATGACCTTTAGCTTTTCTGTTTTACCTATACTAGTGGCCTTTTGCTTTTGTAAACTTGCTGTGTCTCCTACCTAAGTTTTTTTAACAAATCTGCACAGATTTGTTTATTTATTTATAATGGTGGGGATGGAATTCAGGGTATAAGGCATGCTAGGTAAACACTCCACTATTGAACTACATCCCCAGCTCCACCCAAAGGCTTTTATAGATCCTTCTTGCCTTTTGGAGCATTCCCACCTTCTCTTTACTTGAGTTCTTCAGCTCTGGGCTCCTTCAGAGAAGCCCTCTGCATCCCAGAGTAGATCAGATTCTTTGGTTTCATCCTGAGCCTTACCTCAGGGCACTAATGGTAGTTAGGATGATGTGCTGCTACATGACTGTGGTTGTGATCCTTTCCCTCATTTCGCTAAATCCATGAGGACCTTTACCATTATTCTCCATTGTGTCCCTGGCATCTAATGCCTGACATAAAATCAGAGCTTAAACAGTGTTAGTCTGGGCCAGTGGCACAAACCTTTAATCCCAGCAACTCAGGAAACAGAAGTAAGTGAATCTCTGTGAATTTGAGGTCAGCCTGGTCTACAGTACAAGTTTTAGGTCAGCCAGGGTGACATAGTGAGACCCTTTTCAAATAAACAGATTGTTGAATGTTGAATAGGTAGTTCTTAGGTGAACAACTGGCCTATGGTAAAATGCTAATATTAGGACTTACAGGGTAGCTGAGTTGGTAGAGTGTTTGATTAGCATGCAGAAGGCCCTGAATCCAATCTCTAGCACTGCAAACAAAACAAAACACACACAAAAAACTAGAACACAATCTGATCATCTTACAGATTTATTCTAGTGAATTTGCATTTTTATCTCAGTTGTCATGATGACCAATTGAATCTTCTAGTTTTTAGAAAGTTTTGGGAAAGAATTTGTTCTTACAGAAAGAATGTTAAGGTATGTTTGTTTTCATTCCTGAAAACTTAGCAGTGTTCAGCAAGGTAATGACTGAGTATCACCTTGATCATAGTAATGGTATTTATTTCTGTTTTGCTAGTGGCTCAGAGTCTTTACTGTATCATTTGAGTGAGCTGAAAGGAATGGCTTCATGGAAGCAAAAGTATGAGCCTCTAGGACTGGATGCCGTGAGCATCGAAGGTACTCACTGATTTTTCAATAGAATGTGTCAGATACGGTTTGCTTACTCAACAAGTGATATTTATTTGTCTATTTCTCTTCAGAGGCTATTACTGCTGTGGGTTCTTTCATCCTCAAGGCAAATGAACTTCTCCAGTAAGTAATGATGTGGGAATATTTACTTTTTTATTGAGATAAGAATCCAGCAAGTTGTCCTGATTCTCTTATGATGATATTTAAAAATTTTAATCAGAATTATGTTTGTGATGATTAAAACAAACCAATAGCACAGAGATCACCTAAAGAAAAATTGTATTTTCTGGCCCCACCCATCCTCATCTCTGTTCTTTCAAGAGGGAATCATTCTAACTGTGTCTCTTTCTGTGTTTTGCTCTGTTATTTCCATTTTCCTAAACCATGGCTATATTGTATTTCTTGTACTTCCAGTTTTTAGAAGTCATTCTCATTCTCTTTATTTTCAGGACACGATTGCCTTTCTTTTGTTGCATTGTGCTTTGCTTTGTTGTATGACAGGCTCTGCTTACGTAGTCCAGGCTGGCCTCAAACTCACCATGTCTTCGATCAGCCTCCCACGTGTTGGAATTCCAGGTGTGTGCCACCATGCCCTGCAGACTTTCTTGTTTTCTCGCACCATCTGTCTTTACCACATCCTTCCCTACTTTGTCTGTCTGGAGTAATGCTTTGTCCCTGATGTCCCCCTTGCCCACCTGTCCCTTTCACCCTGCACTTTGTGTTCTCCTCTGCAAGGCTCTCAGGGACACTGGCTCCCTTGCTTCCCTGCCTTAGGCTGGGCTTTCAGGATCACCTCTGCCCCTTTCCTTAATATTCTCCTGAAAAACATCCTTCAACAACTTCTCAGAAAGCAGATGTGGAAGATAAACTTTTTTCCGTGTCTTTTCTCGTCTCCTCATTCAAAACTGATGATTTTGACTGGACTTCAGACCAGAAGATGAAATCATTTTCTCTGGAACTTTAGAGTATTGCTCAGTTGCTCTGGGCTTTTTGTTGGCTCTCGTGCCTTGAAGGCTATTTTTTATTTTGTCTCTGAAAACATTAGTCTTAATCCTTGGCATCTTAAGATTTCACTGCAGTATTTCTAGATGTGCTAATGATTGAGAACTATCTAACCCCGAATCCCACTCTTTCATTATTTTGGTAGTTTCTTTTCTCTATCTTCTTAACTAAGTTTTTGTTCTTGAAGTCTGTTTGTATACATAGTAGACTTCATGGATCTTTCCTCTATGTCTTCTTTTTTTTTTCATATTTTTCTTCTTTGCCTTTTTATTTTCTGAAAAAAAATTCTTGTCTAATTGTGCAACACTGTCACTCATCGGATGGTATTTGTTGAACACTTACCTCTGTTTTTGTTTTGTTTTTTGAGACAGTTTTACTTATAGGCTAGATTGGCCTTGAATAACCTGTGTAGCCCAGGTTGGCCTTAACTCACAATTCTACCCCTACTTCCCAAATGCTTGGATTATGGATATAACCTATCACTCCAAGTTCTTAAGTTAACTGTGTTTTAAAGAAGTTCTAGACACTGAGTATATAACAGTGAAGAGAATAATCAATTCTCTTCAATTCAAAAAAAAAAAAAATCTCTGTTCTCCTGACTATTATATTGTAATGTAATGAGACAGAAAATAAACAAATGGATAATTGAAATGCATATAGCTCAGATAATAAGTAGCAGTGAGAAAAACCAGGCAAGGAAGAGAAGGAGATGCAGTTTGTGCAGTGAGCCCCCCATATACATGGATTCCACATTCACAGATCCAGCCAACTGCAGGTCAGAAACATTCAGGAAAAGAAATGACGTCCTACTGGGCAAGTACAGACTTTTTTCCTTCCTGTTATTCCCTAAACAATACAGGAGGACAGCTATTTACATAGCATTTGTTTACATTGTAGAGATGATTTCAAGTGTATGGGGGGTTACATGCAGCTTATATGCAAACACTACACGTTCTTGGATTTGTGTATCCTAGCATGGAGGAGGAGTTCTAGAACCAGTCCCCTTGAGACACTGAAGCACTGTGGTGTCAGAGGGGCCTCATGAGAGGTAAAGTTAAAGGCAAGAAGGGAGGGAGTGAATCCTGGTGGTATTTGGAGACAGAAGAGACCCTGCATTTGGAGCATAGCTGGCATGTTTGAGGGACTTGAGGGGCCACATGCTGAAGTAGATTTAAGGAACGCATGAGAGGTAGGAGATGAGAGGAGCAGGAAAGGTGCATGGTGTGTGTAGAGCCCATAGGCATGGAGAAGTTGTGGGCTTTTCTCTGGGTGTATTAAGAAGCCCTTGGGGAGTCGTAAGGCTTAGGTTTACAAAGACCCCTTGTACTTAGTGTTGAGACTAGATTATATAGGTAGACAAAAGTGGAAACTGATGTAAATGTTCTTCCCTTATTTATTTATTCATTTATTTATTTATTTATTTATTTATTTATATTTTATGTGTATGCGTGTATTGCCTGCATGTAGGTGAGTGTACCCATGTTGTGCAATGCCCACAAAGGACAGTAGAGGCTGTTGGATCCCCTGGAACTGGAGTTATGGACAGTTGTTAGCTGCCATGTGGGTGCTGGGATTCGAATCCAGGTCTTCTGCAAGAACAGTCACTATTCTTAACCACTGAGCCATCTCTTCAGCCACCCCCCCCCCAATTTATTTTTAATTATTTTACTACATTTCTTTTATGGTAGCACTTTGGGGGTGGGGATCTTTTTGAGACAGGGTCTCCCTGTAGCCCCAGGTGTCCTGGAACTCACTATGTGTACCAGGCTGGCCTTGAACTCATAGAGATCTGCCTGCCTCTGCCTCCCAAGTGCTGGGATCAAAGGCATGCGCCACCACACCCAGCCTGGTAGCACCTATTTTTAAAAACACTTGAGAGTGCATTGTGTTTTCTATGTGCCTTTTTCCTACAAGACATTTTTGTGTGCTCTCTGAGACTGTGGTGTTTTCCTGCATAGCTGGAGTACAGTTACCAAGGTTAGGATTTCAGTATTGATGCAGTATTTTGGCCTGCAGGTTAGTTTGGATTTTGCAGGTGTCCTGATAATGCCAGGAAGTAACCTAGGATCTTAGTTGCTGTGTCTCTCGGCCTGAGCTAGTTCTCTGCTTCTACTTGTGATCTCTCTTGGCTTTTGCTGGCCGCCAGCACCACACACTGCCCACACTGACCCTGCTGCTGCGCCTCTGCCGTCACTACTCCTTGACATTTCTGAAATTTGTTTTCATTTCTTCTCTTTATTTTTGTGTGTTTGTAACCCACATGGCCTTCTCTGTCACTTTAATGTGGCATTAGAAGGTAGAGACTGTACACACTTCTGCTCAGAAGACAAAATGGGAGGAGAAATGACATTGCTTTTCTTCTCCTGATATATTTTTTGGTTCACCACATTTGCCAAAGGCAAATATAAAATACTAATCTTTCTCTGATTACCTTCAATCTGAATGAAAGATAGCCAAACCACTGCTTTCAAGCAAGTAAAATACAACACCATTATTGTAGGCCACAGTTGGAGATGTCAGGCTGGCTGCCTGTGGTGGTGCGCTAAGGGGATCAGCTGGAAAAGACACAGAGAGACTTCCTCTACTTCCTCTTGCTCCAAGAGCTAGGGTTATATTGCTTGGTAACAGGGGCAGTGTTACAGGTATGTTCAAGTGCCTTTATTCAGAAATAGTAAGATACTGTCTTAGTTTCATCTCTGGTGCTATGATAAAATACCCTGACCTAAAGCACCTTAGGGGAGAAAGAGTTTTTGGGTTTTTTTTTTTTTTTTTTTTGGTATTTTTGAGACAGGGTCTCCCTGTAGCCCTAGCTGGCTTGGAACTCACTATGTAAACCAGGCTGGCCTTGAACTCACAGAGGTCCACCTGAGTGCTGGGATTAAAGGTGTGCGCCACCATGCCTGGAAAGAGTTTGATTTTACAATTCCAGGTTATAGGCCATCGTCGCAGAGAAGGTGGCAGGAACTTAGAACTCCTGGCTACATTCAGAGCAGGGAGGGATGAATGCATGCATGCTCTCGACTCATCTCACCCTCTCTACTCATACAGCCCAAGACCCAAACTCATGGTATGGTGTCACCCATGGTGGGCTGGGTCTTTTCATATTAATTAATGTAAGTAAGACAATAGAAATGCCCACAGGCCAGCCTGATCTAGACAATCCCTTGGTGAGGCTCTTCCCAGGTGATTCTAGTTTTGGTCAGTTAACAATTAAAATTAACCATCACAGGGGCTAGACAGATGACTCAGCAGTTAAGAGCACTGTTTGCTCTTGCAGAGGACCCAGGGTTCAGTTCCAAGCACCCACATGATGGCTAACAACTCTCTGTAACTCCAGTTCCAGGAGATCTGACTCCTTCTTCTGACGTCTGTGGGCATTGCACACACGTGGAGCACTTATATACATACAGGCAGTACACTCATACACATGAAATAAAAATAAATAAAAATTTGAGATCTCATTTATTATCAGAATAAAAAAATTAACATACTCTCCATTGATATCAGAGGTGGTAGCATACTACAAATTTGCAGTGTTGATTTCCTATTGGAGTTGATATTTTTCTTTTCACTGACCAGTGAATATTTTTTTAAACTGAGAATAATGCTGAAAACTTTTTTTTTTCTGATTTTTTTTCTTTTTTGCTGAATACTGAGAAAGACTATTACAGAGTTTATAGTAAGACAGTTATATCTAGTTATAATCTGTGTGACTTGCTTTATTTTTGGAAAAGAATCAGTTTACTTTTTTAAAAAATGTATTTTTAGTGATGCCTTTGATTTGTAAAAATCTGCTGTTCCAGGGGTTTAAATGCCATCCAAGTAGGATAAAATAGAACATTTGTACGGTTTTTTATATTCCATGACAGTTGAACCCCACATGATAACCTTTTCTTCTGGTTTATTTTTATCTTTTTAGAGTTATAGATAGCAGTATGAAAAACTTCAAGGCATTTTTCCGGTGGCTGTATGTGGGTAAGTTGAGTGACATGTTCTTGTTATCCTAATACTTTTTTTTTTTCAAAATAATGTGGAAATACCATCTTGAATTACCCTGGTAAAATTTGAAACACTGCTAAAAGTGCAGAGAGTGGCGTGACGAAGCTCCCTTGTATCTTCCCTCTGCTTCAGCACTTGTCAGCAGTGGCCAGCCTTACTTCATTAAACATCAAGCAGCCTATCTTCCCTATGGAAGGAGAGCTAACTCTAGAGCATCTGTCCCCATCACTGACAGCGCACCTTTTTTTTTTTCCTTTCTTTTTCTTGTGTATGTGATGTGTACTTGTATGTACACATGTTTGAATGTATATGGGTACACGTGTGTGCCTGTGTGTGGAGGCCTGAGGTTGATGCCAGGAATCTGCCTTGATGATTCTTCCCCCTCATGCTTTGAGGCAGGGTCTCTCAGTAAAACCTAGAGCTCACCCATATGGCTAGTCTACCTTCCCAGCTTGTTCTGGGGCTCCACTGTTGCTGCCTTCCAAAGCTGCCACACCCACCTGACATTTATGTGGGTTCTGAGCATTTGAACTCCATTTCACTTTAACCATTGAGCCATTTCACCAGTCTCCCTCCATCAAAAAAAAAAAAAAGCAAACAAACTTTCAATATTTCATTGGCTTAATACCAGGTTTTTAAATTCCTACTGTGCATTAGATACTGGTAAGAGAGTTTTGAAAAACCCTTGAGTACCTTCTGTACTGTTTTGTATTTTGGTCTTCTGTCTCTAGATTTATGTCATCCTTAGTGGTAGTCAAGGATGTGGCTTTTAAAATAATTGAAATGATCTAAAATTGCACGTTCAGGTCCTTAGTCTGGCCACTTTGAAGTGAGGTGGTCAGCAGCTCTTGCCACTCTGCTTGGGAGAAAGGTGCAGAGCGCCTGCGGTCTTTCTTCACACCTCAGGTCTCTGCAGTTGGGAAGTTAATTTAATTGAAAGATACCTGCTGACTTGACATTAAATGCATTGTGTAGTGAATATTTATACTGCAGTTTCTGTGATCTGTTAATATCCTTGAAATAATCCAGCATATGCTTCCCTCAGCATACTCAAAATTCAGCTATTTTTTCCGTGCTTGTTAAAATTCTAGAGTTAACAGAAGGTTAATTACCTCCAGTATGCTTAATATCTTTAAAATAAATGCCCAGAGCCAGGTATAATGGTGCATACCTTTAATCCTAGCACTTGGGAGGCAGAGGCAGGTGGATCTCAGTGACTTCAAGGCTAGCCTGGTCTACCTAGCAAGTTCCAGGCCAGCTGCAGCTACAGGGAGACCCGGTCTTAAAAAAATAAAATAAAAGAAAGAAAGAAAGAAAGAAAGAAGGAAGGAAGGAAGGAGGGAGGGAGGGAGGGAGGGAGGAAGGAAGGATTTAGGGTTACCTCTTCAGGGGGTAATGTTAGAGTAGCAAAAAGCCCCATTTAGGAAGAAAGAAAGAAAGAAAGAAAGAAAGAAAGAAAGAAAGAAAGAAAGAAAGAAAGAAAATGCCCAGATTTCAATTGTAATGTTACAAAGGCAGACTCTGTATTTATCAGTCTAGTAGGGTTGCTTTTGTTAAAAAACAGAATGTGATGTGATGTTTATGTTTGAAATTCTTAGATATTTCTTGAAACTCCCTGGCCAGTCTGTTTAAAGTCTGAATGGTTAGTTAGAATAAATTAACATATTAAAACTGAATGAGACCTTAGAAATGCTTTACTTTGATAGAAGTAGTGGCTTGTTTTTACTTGTAATTACTGGGGGTAGTCTAGGCAGTTTCCATTTACCTGTCACATTCTAAGGAAATCAGAATGAGGCCTAGGAGAAGAAATGAGTTGCTGCTCAGTCCTTACTGTTAGAGTATGACTCAGGGTAGACACTGCATCCAAGAACTGGAGACCTAGCTGTCTGCCGTGCTGGCTCTACCAGGCATTGCTGTGTAGCCTTGGTACTCTTCTGTGTAAATGGCGTCTCTGAAGGAAGAACGCCTGCTGTTTTGCTGTATCCCTGGAATCTATAGCAGTCACTAAGCTTTTTTTGTTGTTGGGAAGCAAGATGAGTGAGTAAGGTAGGCTATAGCCTGAATTGAGGTAACTTAGACGTCTGAATTAAATTAAAAGTTTCTAAAATAATCTATATTTGTGGAAGTGCTTTTGATATGCATGTCACTGACTAGACAGTTCAGAAGCAAATTCAAACACCATGTGAAACACAGACAGTGTATTCATTCCTGATTTCAGTGGACATGACAGAAAACACACTGCTGAGGACAGCCTCTGAAAGGGCAAGAGAACCTACTGCAGACTCTAGTGAAAGCAGAGTGAGCACATTGCACACATGGAGCTGTGTGTATACACACACATAAGTCTGAGTGCAGGTGTCTTTATAGAGCAAAAAAACTGAAAGAAATATGTTTCTTTGGTATTGTAAAATTTGGGAAGGAAGAAGTAATTGCTTATTTTAAGAGGAAGCATTACTAGATTTAGCAGCACCTCTGCAAGTGCAGTTGTAATGCAAGACAGCAGTTAGGGTTGTTGTCTTGAGTGGTAAAAGGCTGAGTAGAAGGACAAAAAGAAAAGGTTTTAGTTAGACCCAACAATTGTGATCCTGAAAATTTAAGTCAAATTTAAATTCTTAACTCTTTAATTTTTGGAAGAAAAGTTTTTCTTAGTGAAAAGAAACTCTTCAAAATGAAAGATGTAGTCCAGTGAAGCATGTTTAGTCTTTGAAATCTATTTATGATTAAAATCATGTTTCTGGCTGGATGTGGTATCACACACCTTAAATCCCACCACTCGGGAGGCAGAGGCAGGTGATCTCTGTGAGATTGTGGCCAGTCTGATATACATAGCTAGTTCCAGGCCGGCTGGGGCTACAGTGAGACCCTGTCTGGGGGTGGGGGGAAGGACTGTTTCTGATTTTCCTTTAAAGATAGTTTTTAACTTTCTCTTTGCAGCAATGCTGAGAATGACAGAAGACCACGTGCTTCCTGAGCTGAATAAGGTGGTGTAGAGGACTGGGTGCATGCCATGCCCTTAGTCCCAGCACTTGGGAGGCAGGAGCAGAGCTCTCTGAGTTTGAGGCTAGCCTGGTCTACATAGTGAGTTCCAGGCCAGCCAGGACTATGTGATCCCCTCACAAAAATAAAAAAAAATGGTTGTGTATGTCGTGTGTAGGAGCATTGTCAGCCCTATGTGTCCATATCAGCAGATTCAGATGAAAGACGCTTGGAAAAAGCCTGTGCTAAACAAGTGTCACTCTTGTCACTTTTCCCTAAACAGTACTGTAAGTAACTATTTATACAACAATGTTTACATTATTATATTAAGTTTATAAACAGTCTAGAGATTTAAATTATGCAGGAGGCTATGCTTAGGTTCTATATTATGCCGTCTTCTATAAAAGGCTTGAGTGTAGATTTTGATATCTGTGGAGTCTTGAAACCCATCTCCCATGCATACCTAAGGGCATGTCTTATGTGTCATTGTTTTCCTGGATGAGCTCAACTTTTCTGGTCTTCCTGGTTCTTACACCATTAATTAGCTAATGGGATGTCAGGCTATAGACACTAGACAGACCCCGTCACCCCCCCGTTTTTTTTTGGGGGGTGGTCTTTTTGAGACAGGATCTCTGTAGCCCCAGCTGGCCTGGAACTCAGTATGTACAGCAGGTTGGCATCAATCTCACAGAGGTCCACTGCCTCTACATCCCAAGTGTTGGAATTAAAGGTGTATGCCACCACACCTGGCCCCTTAATTTTTTTTAGATTTATTTTTATTATTTTAAATTATGTGTATGTGTGAGTATGTGCTGTTGTCAGCTCGCCTTGGAGCTGGAGTTACAGATGACTGTGGGTTGCCTAATGTTGGTACTGGGAATTGAACCTGGGTCTTCTGCAAGAGCAATACATGTTCTTAACTGTTGAGGAATCATTAACTGCATCTTCTCTCAGTTTTAAATGCATATTTATATTTCTTGGAAATTAGCTATTTAAATTTGAGCACGTAAGTTGAAGCCTGGTGAGCCACAGTTTCTAATTGTCAGGATTGTGACAGATGGTAACAGAATATTCCTCCAGGAAGATCTTATGGACTAAGAGTAGAACAAAGTTCCTGTTTGAATCCTGAAACAAGCCCCGCCCAGCCTGAACTTTTGTTCAGGTAGACTTGGGGTCTTTGAAGCTTTTTTTGTCCTGACTTGTTTTCTTTTTGTCCCTTTTTGTTGGTAGATGACTCAGAAGGATATCACATTTGTTGCCGAATTTCTCACTGAGCATTTCAATGAGGTAAGAAATTGGTATTCTGTAGTATTTCTTAAAAAATAATTTCATTATCCCTAGGTATTGGTAAGAGATAATTAATTTTAATCAATTTAGTTGAAGCCTTTAGCAGCTGCTTTTTTTTTTTTTTTTTTTTTTTGGTCTTTTTTGAGACAGGGTCTCCCTGTAGCCCCAACTGTCCTGGAGCTCACTATGTAGACCAGGTTGGCCTTACTCACAGAGATCTGCCTGCCTCTGCCTCCGGAGTGCTGCAATTGAAGGCGTGTGCCACCACGCCCAGCTAGCAATTGCTTTTTAAAAATGGTTAAGCTAATGACAGCAGAACTTAGTCTAAAGTGAACTTCTGTTGCATGTTACAGTCCAGGAAAGAGCAGCTGCAGCTGACAGCTTTCTCATAAAATACATTTTTGGTTTAAATTTAAGACTTTTTTTTTCCTTTTAAACTGACTTTAAAACTAAACTATATTTATTCTCTCTAGGCTCCAGATCTTTATAATCGGAAAGGAAAATACTTTAACGTTGAGCGAGTTGGTCAGGTATGGACATTGGATTGAACTTAGTTTGATTATTATGAACTGTGTTTAAACCATAGTAATGTTAATCTATATTACCCAAAGTTTATGGAAAGTAATTTAATATTGAATATATTGCAGTCCTGCCCTCTTAGTAAAATAACCAAAGGTCAACATTATTAAATGATTTGGACTCAGACCTCTTTTACATTCTTAACAGTTGAGGACCCTAAAGCACTTTAGATGAACTGTCATCTATCATTTGTGGTTATTGTTAAGTGTTAGAGTGAAAAAGAATGTAGTCCTTCACTTATTAAAAATAACCTATTCCTGGGACTGGAGAGATGGCCGAGCAATTAAGAGCACTGCCTGGTCTTGCAGTGGGCCTGGATTGGATTTCCAGTACCCACATGGTGACTAATAACTGTTTTTAACTCTAGTTCCAGGGGATCTGACACCCTCTTCTGACCTCTCTGGGTACTTCATGACATGGGTGCACCCTACCTACATACAGGCCATACACTCATACACATAAAATAAAAATAATGAAAAAATATTTTAAAAAGTAACCTATTTATCATTAAGGCTAACATAAATGTTTTATTGAAAAAGAACCATGCTTTAAAAATTTAGTGAATTGGCGTTGTTTTATATTTTAACAAGTCTCTTCAATGTCTAGCTTAGCAGAAGACTGTTAAGTTTCCTGTCCACTTGTGTGTTCAGTCTGCTTTGATACACTGATTTGGTTAATGCATATCAAGAAGTCTGACCTCATACTGGTCTGTCCTTAGAGACAACTGTGATAGCTTGTCAGGTGGTTCAGAATATCTTTTGATAAAATACCAAATCCCAAGTGATGGCAGCTCAGAGGTTAGTTTCAGTGTGGAATCTATACTCCCATTAGTGAATTTAATATGCTCCATCGTTGGACTCTGTTCATCTTCCTTGCACTTGGAATGGGTCTTTTATCTATGCGTGATCTTATAACATCATTTCTTGGTCTGTTTGGAAATAGTGTTAGAGAAACTCCTGTAGATGCTCCAGGTGTTGACAACTTACATCACACCATCTTCAAAAATTATATTCTTATTCACCAGCTTAATCCAAGAAGTTCCCTTTATTATTTTTATTTTATGTGTATGTGTGTTTTGCCTGCATGTAGGTAAGTGCACCCGTGTTGTGTAATGCCCACGGAGGACAGAAGAGGCTGTCGGATCCCCTGGAACTGGGGTCATGGACAGTTGTTAGCTGCCATGTGGGTCCTGGGATTCAAACCAGGGTCTTCTGCAAGAACAACCAGTGTGTGTGTGTGTGTGTGTGTGTGTGTATGTGTGTGTGAGTGAGTGATTTAGACAGGATCTCTGTCTAGCCCCAGCTGACCTGCAACTCACTATATAGACTAGGCTGGCCTTGATCCCAAAGAGATCCACCTGCTTTTGCCTCTCAAGTGTTGGGATTAAAGGTATACACTACCACACCCTAAATTTCCTAAATTTAGTTTTCCTAAATTTTTTTTAATTTAAAATTTTATTTTTATGTATGTGAGTCTTTTGCCTGCATGTATGTCAGTGCACCCGTGTCATGCAGTAGTTGCAGAGACCAGAAGTGGGCACTGGAACCCCTGAACTGGAGTTATGAATGGTTGTCAGCTGCCATGTGGGTGCTGGGAACTGAACCTGAGTCCTCTGGAAGCGTATTCAGTGCTGTTAACCATTGAGCCATCTCTCTAGCCCCCAGTTACCTTTATTTTTGCTTAAAAGTTTGTTCATTGAAAAATGACCCATAAAGTACCCCAGTCTTGCCTTGAACCTGCGTCCTCCTGCTGGCATTATAAATGTGCCACCACACCCAGCTAGAAGTTTAAACTTTGTCATTGGCACAGAGGACTTCTGGTTATTTGGTTCAGAATGATAGGCTTACTTTATTTTCAAGAAAATATCTTCCAAGTACCCCCAGAATGATCAAATTCTGTCCTCCAGTTATTTTTTTCAAAGTCAGCCTAGTCTACATAGTGAGTTCCAGGCCAGCTGGTGCTACAGAAAGACCCTGTCTCAAAAAAAAAAAAAAAAAGACCCCCCCCCAAAATAATTCAATTCTATTTCTTAAAAAGTGTCTGGTGTAATTTAGAACCAAAACAGTTTTATACATGCTTTCCTAAGGTAACTTTCACACCTTGGTGTGTAGCAGAATGCCATGTATGTTCTTCCCAATTCTGTCACACAGAATATTAAAGATTTATACTTGAATGTTGAGATGTGATAAGAATTAATTCAAAAGCTCTTTCAAAGATAGCTGAAACCATGAGTATGTGGCAGCACACTGATTGCCTGTCTGATCTGGGCATGTCCTTGACGTGTGGTTAAGATGTCAGCACTTTTCCCTACCATCAGTCCAAATGCCAAAACAGTGCAAAGGACGAGTGGCATCTTGGGATGGTTCCAAAGCTGGAAGTGTCTTGAGGACCCCTGGGCGCCTGTGGCTACACTTTGGGAACAGCTACCATGGAGTATATTGACAGCACTTAATTTATAACTTATATAATTAAAGTATGTTCATGAAAATGAACCACACAATTTAAACTCCATTGTGGTCTCTATACCTCCTTCATTCTGACCTTTATAATCATTTATAGTTTGTCTGTTTGCTTGGCATTTAGCAGATTTTGGTCTGCCCAGTTAGAATAATAATATACTTTCAGAGAATTTGGCAGTAAAGCAAAATAACTTACTAAATAGAAAATAGGCTGTTTAGGAAACTTAATTCATGACTGAGTTTCAGTTTTCTACTCTTATTGTAGTACTTGAAAGATGAAGATGATGATCTTATGTCACCCCCCAACACAAAAGGCAACCAGTGGTATGACTTCCTCCAGAGCAGCAGCCACCTTAAAGGTACTTTTAACTTCCTGATCATTACTTGAGATCAGGTCAGTAGAACAGCTGTCATTTGTGCTGAGCACCTGCTAAATGGTCATCTGACTTCTTCAGGCTGGCTTTTTATGTCCATTTTATTTCATTAGAGAGACAGCAAAATAAACAGGGTATGATGCTCCCAAGATGGATAGAAAACACTGAAACAAACCGTTATGAAAAATTAACTGTGTGGCACCATGTTCTTTCATAATGTCAGCCAGTCACCATTCCAACTGATATTCATTTTAGTAAGACACTGACTACCTAAAGTTTGTGTCAGAATCCATAGGGGTGAGGGCCCAGAAACCCCACTAGGCTGCCCCCAAGCAACCAGGTCCTAGGTTACCCATACCGCTGTCTGACAGGCCACAGGGGGGTTCCACATCTTCCTCCCCTCTGGCTTTGATAACTTGCTTGGAAAACTCACAAAATTCAGATAAAAAATTCGGGTTTCACCAGGCGTGGTGGCGCATGCCTTTAATCCCAGCACTTGGGAGGCAGAGGCAGGCGGATCTCTGAGTTCAAGGCCAGCCTGGTCTACATAGTGAGTTCCAGGCCAGCTGGGGCTACAGGGAGACCCTGTCTCAAAAAGACC